TCCAATATTTACGAGCTTTTCGTATTATTTAGCAAGCTGACAATATTTGGAATAATAAGAATAGGAAAGATCCAAATGCGGCTTCGTTGGGAGGTCAGGCGGAATAGAATGTATTTGAAAAAAGTGTAATTAAATGTCATAAGGATGACACTGTTTTTCGGAAATACAGTCGGCTGGGTCCATAAACTCGAGTGGGTCTTCAAGGTCCAATTCATAAAAAGAAGAAAGAATTTTGAAAAAGATTGTTTGTTTTTTCCCGTTTGTCGTGGGAGATATGGAGTACGGGAGGCTGCGGAACAAAGGAAACTGCCTTGGGTCAGATGTCATTGTGCGAGGGGCAAAAATAGTCGTGTCGAGGGGAAGAATTTAAACAAAATTAGAGCCCCGGCCGCGCTCCTGAAATGATAACAACATTGCGCTTACGAACAAAGTCTTCTCAATAATTCATGCCTCTGAAGTATTTATCCCGCTGGCGGCAATTACTCGCGCGCGATTGACTGCCCGACCCACGCGCCTTTCATTAAAACCCCAGATTTTCATCGGCTCTCGTAAAAACTCGGGTGGCGTGAGAGCGCCGATGTGCACCAATGTCACAATGTGTTTCCGTATCCATCGGAAGTGAGCTACGGACGTCGGATGGCCGGGGAGGTGGGGGGGGGGGGGGGAGAGGCCGTGTCGGTGGCCGGAGGTCGTGAGGTAACGGTTGGCGGGACGGGGGTCGAGGAGGGTGAGGGTGGTGGAGACTGAGTCACAAAGCCCGGCGAGACGTCGTTCGCGCGAGGAGCTTGCAAAGCGGCAAAGCGCATAGTAGGAAAAAGCTCTCGTAGCTTAAATAGTTCCGGTCGGGGTCGGGGTCGGGGTCGGGGTTGGGCGGGTGGTAAGGGTGGTAAGGGTGGTGTGGAGGGGCGAGGGGGGAATTGTAGTTGGCGATGGGCGCGGGCGGGGGGGGGGTATAGGGGGGGGGGGGGGGGGGGTGATACGAGGCCGAAGGTATGGATGCGTGCGCGCGCGCGTGTGTGTGTTGCGCGCGTGGCTCTGCTCTTTGAAAATCGATAGCGGGCCGCGCGCGTGTGTACGTGTGCACGGCCAATCTGCGCGGGCGGGCGAGAGCCTTTTTCCGTCCTGGCCTTTCCTATATTTTTCTTTGACTCCCGAGCGACGGCTCCTTTCCGCGCCTACTTTTTCCCGCTCCGGTACCCCTCTCCCGGCCACCCGGCCCCCCTTAATTCCCACGGCAAACAGACGGATAATTGAAAAGCTACGCGCAGCGAAAGAGAGAACGGCGATAAAGAGAGAGAGAGAGAGAGTGAGAGAGAGAGAGAGAGAAGAAGAGATAAAACTAAGCAATAATGAATAATTAATATTTAATTATACAGTCACTGTGAAGAAACAATGAAGACAAAATGCTCGTATAATATGGTGAGAGAACGAGGGAGAGCGGGCCGCGATCGATTCCTTGGGATAAGAGGCACCCATTGCTGAGTGGCGTGGGTTCGCCGGCACCCGTTTATTTCGGCCAAAGTAAATAGATAAGTCCGCCGACAATTCGTGCTGGTCGATGAAGGCGGGGCGAGAGGGAGAGACGTTTTAATTTCCTGATGAAATACATTGGCCCGACGCCGCGCGGGCCACCACTCTATCTTTCCGCCTTTCTTTCTCGTTTTTGCTCTCGCCTCTGCAAAGAGGATTTTTAACACTTTGAACGAATCAGAGTACGGCGGCGATACGGTAATTTTACGATTTGAATAATTTAAGTCGCGGCCGCCAGTGGAATTCTAAATGCACGCGGCCGACTCGAGACGGATCCCGTAAAAGAGGGACAAGCTTATGTGGATTATACGTCGGCCGAATGTTGGGAATCAGCTCAAATTAACGAGCCATTTTCCGCGTGGTTACGTCAGCTCGGAAAATAATCCATACCAATAGTGCTGTAATCTGTACTAATAATCCATATTAATAAGCCTGAATGAATGTCTGTGCGGGAGCTGATTTAGATAATCAGATCTGCGCTTCCCGGCTTTTCCGAAAATTCAAGTCGATGTCGATGTCGATGTATGCGAACAAATTTCATGGGTTATTATTATTGTTTTCACGTGCCTTCAGGAAACACCAGTCGGAATCTATTTACTTGATACTTCGAACATAACAAACACGTGAAATCAGATTATATTAATGTACTAGATTTGCATATGTAAAGCAGCTCGTAATCCCTTTTTATTCAAATTTTATCTTTAAAAAAATAGTGGAGGAAAAAAGAGAAATTATATCTCCTTCGCCACCCCACACGATCACCCCCTCAGTCAGTTAAGCCAGGCATACATTATCTTAATAATTAAATAATCATTTTACCATTTTTTTTTTTTTTTTTTTTTTTTTTTTTTTATTTTCCATTTTCCATTTTCTGACCAATATTTCATAGCAAAAGAGACGTTATCGGCTTTTGCCAGCGCAGGATGGATTATTTGCAGATTTTTCTCGCTTGTCTAATTCGAGAGCTTAAGGAATTCTTTGTATGAACGGCCTTGGGAGAATGTGCTAATTTTAATTCACGAATAAGAGTGGCGCTGAAAAGCTCTTAAATGTCGAGCTATCTTCACCATATAGTAGATAAGCCGTCTATTTTTATATTTCATAAATGGAAATTTTAAAAGTCATGCCAAATCCGAGCTTATCGCTAAATATATATATATATAACTTTCTATCTAATCGCTTCTTCATCTACCGACATGTTTACTTAAAATTGCATTTTTTTTTCATCCCCCCATTTTTTCTTCCCTTTTGTTATCGAAATTGCCCTTCGCGAATAATAATCTGCCTAACCATTGTGGCCAGGAGTAGTTGAGCGAGGGCGGCAAGAGAAATGATCAAGTTCCAAGAATTACAGAAATAGTCGAGATAGCTCCGAGAGGTCAAATGTGGCGCTCTGCAAGGGACGGCGGTCGACAAGGCGTAGCGAGAATTTTTCCTTCCTAACAACTTGCTCCTCGAGTCGTCCTACGTATTCGTGAAAAGGATACGGAGCTCGAGATTCTCGGGCGCGTGGCCGAGGCGGAAGCGCAGACGTCCGAAGCGCGCGGAACGTCGATGCTCGCGGATGCGCGCGGCACCGATGCCAGGGCGGGAGCGCCAAGAGGATAGGAGGGGCGACGATGAGGGGTCAGAGGTGGAGGGCAGATGCTGCCGGCGGCAGCGGCGGCGGCGGTGGCGGCGGTGGTGGTGGTATCGTGGGTCGTGGTCGACGGGGGTCGGCGAAGAAGGGGTCGGGGGTGGCGGCGACGGTGGCGGCGAGCGAGCGGACAGAAAGAGAAGAAGGGAAACATCGCGGAGCTCCCATGGGGAGGGCGAAGAAATCGCGGAGTATATCGAGCGGCCGCCGCGTCGGGCACGAAAATCCTTGCGGGCCGATTTTCTCTCTCTTCTGGCCTGTCTCCTACTCCCCCTTGCCCTCCTGCCGACGGGCTTTCCACTACCCCCGGGAACCCCGCGCGCACGACTTCCGGGCCATTTCCCGAGCCCCGTGGACGGCCTCTGCCATTGTCCGCTGCCTCTCCCGTGGGGCGTTCGGGGGAAAGCGGCAGGACGAGATTGAGAGACAGACAGAGAGAGAGAGAGAGAGAGAGAGAGAGAGAGAGAGAGAGAGAGCGCGTGATTGGAAGGAGGATGGGTGACGGGTGATCGGTGTATGGTAGGGCGTACGTGCGTGCGTGCGTGCGACCGTGCGTACGTGCGCGTGCGTGTGCGATGGTTTGGGAGCTTGGGGAGGAGGCGCATCGCAGGGGAGGGATAATCGCTAGGGCGAGCGGGAAAACGCGTCTCCGTCGTTGGGGCACTTCGATTATTCTCTGGCGGGGGCAGGGGGGCTCAGCCTCGTAAACAGAGGAGGCCGACGCGCAATCGGGAAAAGAGCGAGGAGAGGGCGCGCGGGAAAGCCGCGCACCGAGGGAAGGACTCAGCCTCGAGGAGTGGGACCCGGAGCCTGCGCAAAGCCGGCGACGAGCCGCCGAGGGAAGACTGCGCGAGGGTTCGCGGTTAGTAGTGGCATCGCATCTCAGCCGAGTTCCGCGAGACAGATCGCCGCGACTCCCAGGCCTCGGCGCGCAACCGAGCAGACGACGCGATAGAGGGCAGGAGGAGAACCAGGGAGCGAGATTGAGAGCAAGGACCGCCGTGCCTCCCGGTGCGACCAGTCATCGGCGAGCGCCCGGGTCCAGCCGCTCACGCACGTACGTACGTCGCCCGTCGCGCGAGTCACGCGCTCGGCCCTCCCCTTCCCATCGATTCCCGTACTGATCCTCGAGCCGGAGACGTTTCGCGGACCTCGGGGGAAAGTCTTGTCGCGATCGAGCCCCCATGACCCCTCGCCCTCGCCCTCCCGCCCTCGAACCCCCGTCGCAGCCGGTGTTCGAGTCGCCCGGCGATCCGCGGACGTGCGATCCCTCCCACGCGAGCATCGATCCCCCGTAGGATCCAGACCGACGATTTATCGTTTACCACGAGCGGAACCGTGAAAGGCCCCCGTTGTGCGCCTCCCGGTCGCACCGGCCCCGCACTATACCCACCCATCCGAGAACGAATTCGGCGGAGCCGGCCGTTTGTCCCGAGCGACTGACGACGATCAGCCGCTGATTTTGCCTGGCGGAGAAACACTTTCCTTCGCGCGCCGCTGCATATTCATGTATGTAGATTGGCTACGGTGGTGTCGAGAGTGGCGGGGCGGCGATGAGGGGACGAATTGGGGGTCACCGAGATAGCCGAGGGGAGAAACCCCTACGAAGCAAGTCGCCGCGCCTTCAAAGTAAACAGTCGAAAGTCGTGGCAAAGGGAAGCAAAAGCCGGAGTCGAAGTCGGAGTCAGAGTCGACCGATAATTGTCGGCGGAAGTAAGAACGCCGATGCCGCTGACGTGTCCTGATCGTCGTAACGGCCGCCGTAGTTACTGCTACGAGTAGTCGGCCGTCCTCGTAACCCGATCGGGTTACGAAACTTTGACCAACATTCGAGCTTCGATATAAATAAATCCGTCGGCCAGAGTCGATTTGGGATAATCGAATCAATGATCTTGTCCAAGCTCGTAAAAATAACGATGCCGAGATAAGCGCCGCGGACGAGGAAGTCGCGCTCCGTCGCGAGATTGAGATTGTCGGATAAAAAGTTGAGGATCGATGTGGGGAATCGTTGGTCATAACGGTCCGTCCGGTCCGTTCGGCCGCTCGTTAAACCGAGGGAAACGAGCGTGAGACGAGCACTGGCGGCGGCCAGGATCGATTGTCGTTGAGGCGCTAATTTAGCGGTGTCCGAGGCTGGATCCGAGGCGTTATAACGATGTGATCGTTACCGTGACGACTTGCGTTCCAGATAAGCCAGCACGTCGCCAGGAGGATGCTGAACTGAGGAGCGCCAAGGGATGGCCGCGCGCACGCCCGTTATCCTGGGCATCTGGGGGGTGTTTGTCCTCGCGCTGATCCAAGGTATGCCCGCGATAGCGACTTGGCCAACCCGTCTCGTCCTCTTGCCCTAAAGGACCGAGTCGAGGAGCGAAGGTCCGCTTGTTGCCGCTTACTTTATCTTCGCGCACGCAGCATCGACACGGCCCCCGGCTCACCACCACCGCAATCACCACCACCCACCAACCCACCCACCCACTGACCGCTGGCCATTTCACTTGTCAGCCCACTTCCGGCAAACAGGCTATTTAAATTGCGTTCCCGCTTGGCTTCACGGGCCAAACGCCTGTATTTGCCGAGGGTATGGGATCGGGCGATGGGTGGGCGGATGGGTGGGCGGATGGGTGGGCGATATTTATTTTATCTTGGAATAGCATCGCGTCCCTCATAATAAACTTGAGCTCTAAACTCGTTTTCAACTTTGCCAGCGGCTGGAAATACGAAATATCCTTTTATAACTTTTTCCGTGAAGGGGTGGTGGACTCATTTATTTACATGCGCTTCATCGTAATGCGTAATTGCTTGCCGTTGACCCACTACGAAGCTGCTTGTGCTCATTTTATGTATTTTTATTTCTTCCTTCTTTTCTGTTTTTTGTTTTTTGTCTGTTTTTTTTTCTTTTTTTCCTTTTTGTTTTGGTTGCTTTGCTCGTTTGGTCTCGTTTTTCCGTTTGCCTCTCGCGAAATCGACAACGGGGCAATTTAACGCGAGGCCACCTTCTTTCCCGCTCTACGACGATTCTCGTGCTCATAATCTTCGACATTATTGTACAGGGAACGAGCGCTTGCCGAAACTAAAGTTCGAGTAATTTTCAACATTCTATTTTCAAGTTGGTATCACGAATGCAGGATACGAGTTTAGTTAAATTGCTATCTATATCGATTCGGCAATATCCGAAATTGTGGGTTACAAATTCATATCCAATTTCGACTATCCGTTTAATTTCCCCATTTAGAGAATAAAAATTAATTCCCACCTATCCACTATCGTATCATCCCATCGGCCAATTATTCTTACCGCTTTAAAAATTCCGAAATTCCAATTGACATGTGCAACTTAGTATTGTCCAAAGTATTTAATGCTGGCTCTTTATTATCGTCTGGCGTTATCTCTCTGCGTGGAATAAAGTTTATATAAAGCTAGTGGCGCTCATATTTCTGTAATAAAGCGGACTATTATCCTGAAAATTAAAATTATAAGGGGCGAAACGAGAGGGCTTATGATTTACGTTGGCAATGGGTTTGATAAAAACTATCAAAGAACTCACGATAATCCTAAAACATTGAGTGAGATATATGTTAAAAGTTTCTCGATAGTACAGTTAAAATTATTACGAGATCTGTGAATTCATTTTATGTATATTTTAACGTTGGCAATACCATCAACTTCTATGCGTATTATATGGCATTTATAAATACGTGAGAGTATCCATCCAATAATGGAATTACCCCAAGTATATGGAATACTATTCGATAAAAAGTCGCCTATAAAGACATCCAAATTTCGATGGAAATCAACGGGGGGAGATGATAAAAAAAAATGAAGAAAAAAAAAGTTATACAGAAAACTATAACAAAAAAACAAAAAAAATAAAAAACCCCCCCCCCCCCACCCGCCAAAGTAATTGAACACCATAATAAGCTCGCTTCTTTTCACAGATATAAATGTATTTTTCATACCTAAAGTATCAAAAACTATGATACTTTTTTTTTAATTATGGGTTCTCTCCTATTTTATTACGCATTTTGTAATTAAAAAGTTTGGCAAATTTTCTTGCTCAAAGAAATCGTATGATGAATTCGTTATTGTTCACTATTTATTCGCTTCCGTCTTTTATCTTTTTATTACAACGAGGCAATATTCCTCGATCAAATCCTCACACAATGGAAATGCTCTTAATAAACTCAAATTATAATTTAATAAGGTAAACACCGGACAAGGACGTCGGCTTGTGTTGATCGGGACAGTCGCGGACTAAAAATAATATTTTTTTATAGCAATGATCGCTGTACGAGGTCAATCGAAATTGGATAAATTTCACGACTGCGCGTCTCGCTTCAATAAAATTAGCTGGCCATATAATCGGCCAATAAGGATACCGATTTTTCATTCAAAATCTATCTATTTGATGATGATTGCCAAAGTAGCGCCCATAATGTCACGTTTTACCCTTTCGATTTTTATTGTTTTGACCTTTGTTTTGGCCTTTTTAAAAATAGCCCTCGTAACTTACAAGGAATCAAATTTTCACAGAGACTCATGCGAGCCGTTAACCGACAAATCGAGCTAAGATATATCATCGACCTAAAAATATTATCCGAGAGCCGTAATAACGCTGAGATCAGTCAGCCGGTAAATTAGCGAATTTCAAGGGCTGATTGATATTTATTAAAGGTCCGATCGGGCATCTATCCTTCATCAACGTGTCTCGCCAGCTAAACGCAAAGTCATTAGGACATTGGATATTGAATCGAGTAAAAACACGAACTAACATATTATTTATCGCGAGCCTCGTCCTCCTCCTCCTCCTCCTCCTTCCTCCTCCTCCTCCTCCTCCTCCTCCTCCTCCTCCTCCTCCTCCTCCTCCTCCTCCTCCTCCTCCTCCTCCTCCTCCTCCTCCTCCTTCCTCCTCCTCCTCCACACTATCCCCCGAGCCCCTCTCCCCAAAAAATAGCCGATTAAGGGGTAGATTGGATTTTTCGCTTTATATGTAGATTCGTCGTAGGTGGGAAGGGGGCTTTTCCCCAGACTGTTTATCGCCTTCGCAATGCACGTCGAATAATAATGATTGCGCAGAGTCGAAACCCGTGAGCTGGGAGGAGTGGTGGACGTACGACGGTATCTCGGGGCCGGCCTTCTGGGGCCTCATCAACCCCGAGTGGTCGCTCTGTAACAAGGGCCGCAGGCAGTCCCCGGTGAATCTCGAGCCTCACCGGCTCCTCTTCGACCCGAACCTCGAGGCCCTGCACCTCGACAAGCACAAGGTCGGCGGCATCCTCAGCAACACCGGCCACAGCGTCGTATTCACCATCGACAACGACACCAAGGAGCTCTTCAACATATCCGGGGGGCCGCTGAGCTACCGCTACCAGCTCCACGAGATCCACCTGCACTACGGCCTCGACGACAACCTCGGGAGCGAGCACACCGTAGACGGTTACAGCTTCCCCGCCGAGGTCTCCGCACCATTTTATCGGCTATATACGCTGGCCAGAGCCGATCGTCTCGCTCGCTACTTACTTGGGATACAGGGCCAACGGGGTCCAAGGGGTCTCGCGCGCTTCGCTTAACGGTTCATTTCGCATGCTCGCGAACTTTTTCTGTTCCACCAAAAGGTATAATGAGAGACTTCGAGTCGAGCTCGCCTCACCTCGCCTCACGAGACCCAATAGCCAGCCTCCCTCTAAATTCGTCGAAATTCTTTATTTCATAAGTTACGTTTCGACACCCCCCCCCCCCCCCAACCCCCCCCCCCCCCCCCCCCCCCCCCCCCCCCTCCTCTCTCTCTCTCTCTCTCTCGCTTTCAAACATTAAACTATTTCGACATTAAACAATCCATGGTGATTACAAAGTGAGCGTTCTTTTCCTTTTCTCCCCCCCCCCTTTTTAGCCTTTCAAAACACGGCCGTCCACTTGACTCGGATGTGCGTGAAATAAGTTCGTGGCTTCAGAAGCCTCGACTACCCTTGTTCTAATCACGAGGCGAGGCATAAAATTGCTAATTACAACTCAAAGACTAGAAATTATAGAGTATAGGAGGATAAAAATTTTTGCGGCTATCGCTAATGACGTTTTATTTACTTGAATTATAATTTTTGTCCCCCGTAACGAAAGCACGCTGGCTTGGAAAGCAAATAACAATTACCTCGTGCTGTGTTATCGGATCGAGTCATAAAGTATTTAGCATAATTGCTGTTATTATTAACAAGCCCTCTGGTCTTTATAAAATTTTATCAAAATATTACGTCTGATTTAGCACTTGATAGTGAAATTATAGATCACTCTCTGCATAAATGACCCGCAAATTTATATCCCAAAATAGCACATCTCCAATTATACTTATATTACCGTTTCAACGGTGATAATCTATTTAATTAATATTATCGCTATACAGTCTTGTGGTTTATGATTTTTGTTTTTCCTTCTTTCTCTTTGTTCTTTTAATCTATATTAAATTTATCGTGACGCCGAGAACTACATTCTAATACGAACTGGCCAATAAATTTTGATAGCAAAATGATTGGATATTTATATAGTAATAATAACAGTAACAGCAACAGCAACAGCAACAGCAACAACAACAACAACTACTACAGCAACAACAATGACAATAACAACAGCGACGTTAATAATGATAATTGAAATAATAACGACAACAGCGACGATAACAGCCACACCATCAACAATAATAACGGTCACAGGAGTGTAGAAAAAGTGAATTTTTTTCTTCTTCTTTTTCTTCTTTTTTGTTAACTGACATTTCAGTCTTTCCATTCGAAAGATGTATATTTTATTTTTAATTTATCTAAAAATATTTCAAACTCAGTGTGGCATGAGAATCAAAGTACAGAGAAATATTTACATATGATAATTCAAAATTCTTAAGCGTATGAGCATTTGGATAATAAAATATATTAAAATCAATAGCTTGATAGACCGACTTTCAAAGATGCTAATTACAATTCATAACAGCATACAATGTAATATTCATCGTGTAAAGAAATATTGAGACATTAGTATTCATACATAAGGAAAGGAAGAAAAAAAACTATGCCTGCATTTGTTATTTTTAACGTCTCTTACTTTTATGATTTATGAGTGAATAAAAAAAAAATAAATAAAAAATATATATATATGAAAAAAAAAAATGCAGAAAAGAAAAAAAAAGAATGAAAGAAACACTTACTAAAAATGTTAACTTCTTTAGCTGACGGTAAATATGAGTTAAGAGAACTTCAACTTAACGTAATAGAGGAAATGAGGAACTACTACTATATTTACATAGGTCAAGTGATTTATTTGTCAAAAATTTGAAAATTTCTCACACTTTGTAAATTAATCCTTTTAATGTTGAATCTAAGAGAAATAAGTTTCGAAATCCTTTGTTAATTTAGCCATTGCTAGAATGAAAAATAATCAAAGAGTCTTTGGCTTTTCTTCATTTACGAATCGCAATCACGACAGTCTTGATTTTTTCACTGACACACATATATATATATATATATATATATATATATATATATATATATACATATATATAATATATTGTACATATATTAGAGATTTCAGGTTTAGATTTCATGATAACCTAATAATTACTTATAGACCAGGTGACCTTATAAAAGACAGCCACGCAAACACATATAAATAATTACATTCACATTCATACGGTAATGTAAGATGATGGATTTCGTTCGATTGGACGCTTTCATGCGTCGTGTCGCTGTTATGTTGATAAAAAATTAAAAAAAAAAAAAAAGGAAATTAAAAAAAAGGCAAAAGAAAAGCTAAGACAGAAAAAGAGCGAATCACGCTACTAATCTCGTACATTTATAAAAGACTGATGGGAATTACCACACTAATAGCCCATTGATGTCTGTTTATTTGTTCTCTGATTGACCATGGCTGTATGTTTGTTATGAAAGGATTTTTACAAAGGGTCCGCAAGAGCACAGGGAACTCTCATTATTACTTATCGTTATTGTTTCATGCCCATGGCCTATTCTTTTATTTTATTTGATTATCTTTGATTTTATTTTAATTTACTTTATTTTATTTTATTTTATTTTATTTTATTTTATTTTATTTTACTTTATTTTATTGCTCTCTTTTGCATTTGTCTCAGAATCTGAACATTATAAACGGGTATAATCATCGTATTATATATCGCTGAAAATGCTCGTTAGATTTCCTTAATATTTGGATGGAATACTTAACTTTTATAGTCGTAATTAGAAAATCGCAACTCCGAAATCCCTCCGTATTCGGTCGAATAACTTAATTTCATATTATACGGTTTTTTATTTGTGTTTTGTTTTTGCTCTGTTGTTGTTGTTATTATTTTATTTATTTGTTTTTTTTTTGTTACACGATACGATCAAATTCTCTCGAACGTAGCGTGATAACTCCATTCGATAATTTTGCAAATAATTAGCGGCAAAAAGTTACACGCTGCAATAGCACTTTGCATTATAAAAACATATTACAATTATACTAATGATTGATTGGATATGGCGAGAATTCTACGCTAGCTAAAAGGCAGAAAAATGAAATGCAAATGAAATAAAGGAATTAAGGCTAAGAAGTATTTGTTGAGTAAAGGAAGCCGGAGAGTCGCAATAAATTAGTAATAATCAATAAACTCGTAATTGACGGTCTAGCGCGTCGGGATAAAAGGCGAAGAATAAAAAGGGGTCGTAGGTAGCGAGCGAGAAGGATGATGGGAGGATAAAGGCAGAAAAAAAGGAAAAACTAACGAGACTCGTATCTCTCTCTCTCCCTCCCTCTCTCTCTCTCTCTCTCTCTCTCTCTCTCTCTCTCTCTCTGTCTCTCTGTCACTCTGTCTCTCTGTCTCTCTGTCTCTCTGTCTCTCTGTCTCTCTGTCTCTCTCTCTCTATATATATATATATATATATATATCTAGATCCAGATATTCGGTTTCAACTCATACTTATACAACAACTTCTCGGACGCCCTTCACCGCGCCCAGGGTATCGTCGCCGTCTCCCTCCTACTCCAGGTACGTGCGTAATCTCCGACTACAATCTCGCCTCCACGCGCTCTCCTTATAAACACTTTATCGCCCCGGCCCATCGACACGATCGGGCACACACGCACCCGGCAATACTAACACTAACGACGCGCCTCGTGCGCCTCTTACAGGTAGGCAGTCTCTCGAACCCCGAACTAAGGCTCTTCACCGAGCACCTGGACAAAATCACATACGGAGGTAAATATGCGGGCCGATTGATCGACCAATATGCTAATTAACAACAATAACAATAATGTTAATTATGATATAATAAATAATAATTAATAATAATAATAATAATGATGATGATGATGATCATGATGTTAAAGAGGAAGCGAAAGATATTCGTAATGCTGAATTCATAAAGCATAATGGTAAATAACTAAGTGGCTGCTCGATTATAATCGGCAAATAAATAAATAAATAATCGCTAATCCAAAGTGAATATTAACGAAATGATAATTCGCGGGATTTTTGCAGGTCAGGCCATGGAGATCAAACGCATTGGCGTCCGCGAATTGCTGCCGAACACTATGCACTACATGACCTACGACGGCTCGACGACGATGCCAGCCTGTCACGAGACCACCACGTGGATCATTCTCAATAAGCCCATATATATAACCAAGCAGCAGGTGAGCAACGCGACGTTTTTGGGCGACGGATAATTAACGTTGCTTAACCGAGGCCAATGTTTTTCAGCTGCGCAGCCTTAGGGAGCTGAAGCAGGGCGATAAACGACACCCCAAGGCTCCCCTCGGTAACAACTTCCGGCCCCCGCAGCCGCTCCATCATCGCCCGGTCAGGACGAACATCGACTTCAACCTTAAGGTACGGGCCTCGAGGATCTATCGTGACCTGACGAATATTAAAGTGGGTTCCACAGGGACACCAGAATGCCCAAATTGTGCGCGATGAGAAAGTGGAATGGCCGCTGGACGTTTAGGACGATTGTTGCGGTTGTCCGAGGCGCGCTAAATTCCTCGCTCGCGTCATTCGTCAATGGGTCCCACGCCCTGGCCCTGGGTATTCAAATTATAGATGAAGAGGCTATTCGGCTAGCGAGAGACACGATCTAGATTATATCTACATTGAATAACTAATGTTAAAAAGTTGAGCGCGTCACGCCACATTCGTCACGTTTCACTCGCATCCTTCGCTCCCCCTTTGCCCCTCGGATAAAGCCAGCATACCGTATCAAAGGACCTCCTCGTTTATTTTTCTTTTCTTTTTTACGCCTCGATGAATGCTCCACGTCCTATACGTCAGGAAACATTCCAACTTGGGCTCTAAAATAATAATCGCATGGTCCGCGCGAAATTAAAACGCTTCAACTTCTTTTCCAGCAGGGCCCGAAAAACTGTCCCACTATGAACAGAGATATTTACTACAAAGGTGAGCAAGATCCGACACTTTTTAACAGAGTTTTGACGGATGGTGCGATAATAAAATATACATCTTGTGTCCTCTGTTGCAGCAAATAGTTGGAAATAGAGGCTCGAAGGAAGAAACCTGAAGAATGCTTTGAGCGAGAAATTCGTTGTGCTCCCCGTCCGCTCGCAACCTCGACAATGATATCGAGACAAAAGCGAGAGAGGGAGAGAGGCAGCGAGACTAGTGGATATAAAAAGTATGATTAAGAGTGAACTCGGCGTAGCGCAAGAACAAAGGGCAAATTAAACAGAAAACCAACAAAAAAAAAATAAATAATAATAATAATAGTAGTAATAATGGTAATAATGGTAATAATGGTAATAGTAATAGTAATAATAATAATGATAATAGGATGATTTAAAAATAAAAAGAAAAAAGAAAAAGTGAGAGAGAGAGAGAGAGAGAGAGAGAGAGAGTGAGAGAGAGAGAGAGTGAGAGAGAAGAAAAAACAATAACTTCGATGTATAGATAAAATTAAACAATTGACATATCAAGATGCCACGACTGGCAGCCGATGAGTGTGGAACGATCGCCGCTACTACCGCTGCCGCCGCTTCATCCTCCCGCGCAATGTTTTTCGCATCGTCGCGCGCGCCTCTACCCGCGCCGCATAGCACAATACTTACGCACACACACGCGCACAAACAGCGCACACTCGCTCAGCCTACTCTCGCGATCGCCGGACTACGCATGCATACGCCGTAGTCCATGCGCGCACGCACAACCGTACACGCACGTGTGCATGCGCCTTTATGTACTCAAATGTGTGTGTGTGTGTGTGTGTATATTAATTCGTGGGTGCGCGTGTGTATGTACATAAATGCATACGTATATAAAAAAAAATGCATAATAAAAAATACAGAGAAAAACATGTATATGTATATATATACATATATATATATATATATATATATAGGAAAAATTCGCCATCCGAAAAATTAATAAAAGAGAATGCTTTGTTGTTACTTATTAGACGTGAATTGCCAAGTATATTTCCAAGTAAATGAATATACCTTATAGTTGCATAGTCGATTGAAAATAAAGCAAAATATGATAAAAAGAAGTATGGCCGAGATTGAAAAGATATGAAAATGTAAAAAAAATGTAAAAAATTATATTATAAATATCGAAAAGGAAATTAAAACAAAGACAAAAAAAAAAAACAAAAGTACACAGAAAAATAAACAAGAAAACATACGATTATCGAATAATTATATCGAAATAAAAAGCTATGACTATCGTGGCCTGTGCGGAGACATGTACTATCGAAGATGACAGATATTAAATTAAGTGCGCGACTAATTGTGTATGATAAGTTTTGCATGAGCGAAGGAAAGCGTATGGTTACTTACACACACAGTCACGCGTAACATTCACACGTATGGGCTTGTATATTCATATGCCAAATACGTACCGTCGACATATGAATATGAGAGAGCAGCGGTAAGGGACGAAAGAGAGAACGAGATAGAGGGGTAGAGTGCGAGAGAAAGAGTGAGAATGAACGACAAAGTACACTCATTCATACAAATTTGCGTGCTCACGCGCGCGCGCTCCAACTCGCTCGTAAACAGCCAGACACACGTCCATACAGAAGTAATCGCATAGAGGCCGAGAACAGAGACACAGATTCACTCACGCACGTATTTATATATAAGAAAGGATTAAGAAAGAGGCGAAGAGAAGGAGAGACGAAGAGTTATTTGGATAGAGATATATGAAAGAGCAGTAGGATTTGGATGAGGATTAGGATTAGAACTAGGACGAGGATGACGATAATGGGGACGACAACGGGGACAACGACGACGACTTTCAACGACAACAACGATGACTACGAAGATGACGGAAATAATGATGATTATGATTATGCGGATGATGATGAAAAATGTTTATACTATATTCTTGTAATAAAAAGTGTTGAAAAAAGCAGCGTCGGCCAGTGTGTCATGCTTGTTTAATTTTTCGAACCCCTCCACCCTGTCGCCCCGTCCACCCGGATTCACGATCCATCGGCCTCCTTTTTATACGCCTGTTGCTACGAGAGTGCGTTGCGGAACTCCGGAGATGGCTAAGATGACATCGACAGAGTTAGCGTTCGATCGATTAGCCCATTAAAGCGTCGGGACGCCGGTTTTGGATCGATCGCGGCCGCAGCGTCGCGCGACATCGGGGTCGTTCGAGCGGTCAAGTGCCGTCGGGAATTGGACAGTGGCGGCACCCGCGGCTATGCGACAGACGTGCGACCGTCGACGCCACCGACGCCACCGACGCCACCAACGCCACCACGACCACCACCACGACCACCACCACGACCACCATCGCCGCCACCGCCACGACCGTCAACATCATCGTTGTCCTTGTTGCTGCCAACCACCGCCTCCGCCTCCGCCACTGTCGCCTCCGTCGCCGCCGCCACCGCCGCCGCCGCCGCCGCCGCCGCCGCCGCCACCGCAGCTGCGCAGAAGCACGATTGCGAGCCTCGGCGCTGCGACAAATCTGCGCGGGCCGACACTCGGCGCCACTCGCCAGCGTTCCTGTTCCTGGTGACGAGCTGCGCGCTCCGCTCGAGGGCCGCCGCCTTCCCCGACTGGACCGACTGCCCGGCAGTCTGCCGCTGCAAATGGACCTCGGGCAAGAAGTCGGCCCTCTGCCCCGATGCGGGCCTCACCACGCTGCCCGCGAGCCTCGACCCGGACATGCAGGTTCTCGATCTCTCGGGCAACCGCATCCCCACCCTCGAGGCCGAGACCTTCAAGCACGCGGACCTCCTCAACTTGCAGCGCGTATTCATGCGGAACGCGGGTATAAGGGACATAGATGGAGACGCATTCAAGGACATGCGGATCCTCGTGGAGATCGACCTCTCGGACAACCACCTGCGCAATCTCGTGGCCCACACCTTCACCGGCAACGAGAGGCTCAAGATGCTTGTTCTCAGCGGCAATCCTCTGGTGACGCTCAGGGCTAATCAGTTCCCGGTGCTCCAGCACCTGCGTAACCTCGAATTACGTCGCTGCTCGCTCGTGCAGGTGCACCCTCAGGCATTCCAGAGGCTGCTCGCGCTGGAAACACTCAGGTGAGAAGGCGTGCGCGACCCTAAATCGCGTCCACGAGAGCTCTCACGTGCTCTAACTAAGGTGCTACCTTACCCTTTTGGTTCGAACTTCCCACCCATCCACCCATCCACCCATCCACCTCTCTCGTAACCCACAGCCGATACCGTAATAACGAGCGAAATGCCCCACGCATCCTCGAATACCGGGCGCACGCGAATCTCGAATCTCGCCTTATCCTCCCCATTTCTTATTTTACCAAAGCATAGCCAACGTGCCTTGCTCGATTTCTTACCGATAGAGCGACTTCCCCAGCCACGCTATCCACCACCCACACATGTCACCTCGCCACATTGTTCTATATAATACACCACGGCTCGTGCAATCTCTTAAGTGGATTCTGTCTGGGGACGTGTAATTATTGTCATTCTTAAGCAAATGCCCGTCGACCAATATCACGTCACGTTCTCGGGGTTGTAAAACTTGCCTCAACCAATGTTCGCCTTAATCTAACAAGCGATAAATAATAGTACCGCGTAAACATACTCGTGCACGCATCTCCAGTACTCGCGAGCCATATTTCTATAGCTAATGTAATTCTTATTAAGCACGCAAAAGACTTGGGATAAATTTACAACATCCTCGTTATCATATTAACATTACATTGATAAATTAGTAGGGAATGAATTTAATACTGGAAACGGCAAACGCCTCGCTCTTGTATCTTTCTAAGTAAACGTAAATATAACATTTAAGTATCGTATAAAGGCAAAAGAGAAGAAGAAGAAGAAGAAGAAGAAGAAGAAGAAGAAGAAGAAATAAAAAACTATCCCCTTGAGTAGGCATATGAAGTACCGTTGGAAAATTCGCTAACTTATTCTACGCATGGGCATTAAAGAATAAATTACGTCGGGATAAGGCACACTTTGGGTGGATAAATAAATCCATTTCATTTACAACATATAATAATGCGTGAGCAATATTATTATATTAATTTTTATTGCGAGAGACACGCATTTGGTCCTGTAACATTTTGAGAATTTATCTTTAGCGATAATAGACGGAACGACCAGTCGTGTACAAGCAACGTATAAAACGTAAAAACATCCGGGCAGTGGCTATAAGATTTTTATCTACACTTCACGATCGAAAGTTGACAGCCGCGACAAAAATGCCTGAGAGTCGCGCACGACTGTATTACTTTCACGCGACTGACAAGATCTTATCTCTCGGAAAATATGCAAAAATAAATAAGTTTTAAGCTTATAGGATTTAAATCAACTTTACGTAAATTTTCTTACTATAAATGTAATACGAAAACAGGAGTTTCTTCTTTTCTTCTTTTTTTTTCTTTCGTGCTTTCGAATTACTATCCTGACTAATAAGATTTGCTGTTTTAAATAAGTAATCCGATTTTCCAAGATTTTCCATTTTATTATGTTATTTTGTACACTTTCGATATTTAATTATCTGCATCTTTAAAATCCCGGCTCATTTCATTCATCGCTGAATTATTTACATTAAATGAATTTATTCATTTTATCATAATGAATAAATACGTTCGCACTCTTAATTATTAGGAAACAAAAAACTTACTCTACACTAGCTTAAAAAGCGTTTAGAAAGTTTTTTTTTTTTTTTTTTTTTTTTTTTTTTTTTTTTTTTTGATTGCGCAACATAAAGCATTTATTGTAAGTATCACTGAAAAATCAGTCAATAAATAATCAATTTTTTTCATACGCTACTCTCGATACCTTATCATTTTACAGTAAATATTTATTACTTAAAGCTAAGCCGTAATTCTCGGCAACTGCTTAATTCGCATTTAACTTCAGGAAATTTCAAATCTTGAGGAAAAAAAAAGTTTTAGATATTCTTAATAGTATTTCGACGATTATTAAGAGAAATCGCAGATAATGATATCTAATGATCCAGGTCTAATGTGTATTTGGGAAGAAAATAATAATTAAAGTTAGTTTACTATTTTTTCACTTGTTAAATCACCGAAGAATGATAATATTAATTTAATTACGATTAAAAATTTGGAATATTTATATGAGTCTCTGATACTAGTGAATACATTTACAGGATTGTTATTAATTTTTTAAATTAATAAAAATTAAAAAAGAAAAATAAAGTGATATTAGTGAAGATAGCCGATTCCGACGAACGCGAAAAAAAAATAGAACTTATGACGAATAATGTAGACACGCATAGATCAATCATTTTTCATTTCTCTTAAACGGTAAAATTTCATTATCGTATCGAGTATTTATTAATTTGAAATTTCAATGTTTCAATTTTCAATATATATATATATATATATACATATATAGACACGTATGCATTCACACACGTATATCTGATTATACGTTTCTTTGCTTTTAATTGAATATTAAAGATATAATCTTTAAGATGTACGTGGTCATTCATCGTGCATCTTCGCTCTTGCGGCCTCGTCCATTTAAATGGATAATCAATCGAAGTTAAAGTCATTATGAAATAAAACAATTTCAGAGTTTAAATTATTTCACGGGAATGAAAGGTGCCCGGGCACCGGGACGTATTTAATAAATGTATTTTCATTAACTAGCTCGCTTAAAGTCAAGCCATGTTAAGATGAAAATAATATTCCTAATTTCCATTAAATCTCCATCTGCGGACTTAATTTACTCAAAAATACAGTAGTAAAGGAAAAAGATGTCGCACTAGTACTTATTTCTCCAAAATTACGTGTGCCACTGTTAAATGTGGGGCATAAATCTCAACAGTGATCAGCCGCAATCAGCTTTAAAAACTGTTTTGCTCGCTGCTCTTTCAGATAAAAGTGATCAATTTTTATTTTAAATCAATTTTTATGTACTTTGTACAAAAACTTTGAAAGTTATACCGCCAGGATATTCAGATCCTCGTGAGGGTTCATCATTTCATGGAGCATCATGCTATCGGTATTATCATTAATCATGTTCTGCCCATGAATAGCTTTTCATAATTTAGCAATGCCAACGGGTCGAGTCGATGCTTTGAAAAAGAATTTTTTAAATTTTGAATTTTTATTTCTTATAATCATACGTGCGATTGTGGCCATAAAGAAATTTATCCTACTTCTGGTCACACAACAACCCCCGAAATGTCCCAATTTATCGAAATTCTAATACGTCACCGCCCATTCTCATTAGAAATTATTTTGTACATTAACCTCAGCATGTATGTAATAAAGGATCTTATTACAAAGGAAATGCGAGCTCGTGGAGGTAAATCTGATTGTGCGCATTTCGGAAGTCGTGCGGTGAATCAAGTATAGATTTCCCAGACACTTATAAGAGATCCGAGTTGAATAATAATGGAATACGTATACGTTGCCACAATAATTACAAACATTATCGTTTCACTCGGTAATCGAAATTTAACTTGATTAAACCCCGTAAAGCTTAAAATTACAAAGACACGTCACCTTTATCTGTACCTGCTCAAATCTTTTTATCAATGATCTCGTCGAACTGAGAGGGAACTGTAATTTTTCCGTACCACGCGTAAGCCGATCTCTATTTTTACTTGTCACGAAATGTATCTCTTACCTCGCAATAAACTTTCAAAGTACTTACTAATTGTGAAAGTCGCTTCAAGCTTAAAGGGAAAATACTCAGGACCGAATAAGATAGAATGCTTTTTAAGATTATATTTATCTTAAAATAAATGTGAAATATGCATGTGCAAACTTTAAGTAAAATCTATCGCTTAACTGTTTTGACGCTAGATTTCCATTTATTCAAGGTTCAGTTACTTGGGAGAAAGAGAGTTAAAAAAAATAGGGAAAAAACGAGAGAATCATTCACATGTTCCAAGTAAAAGCTTTTTACCTCGACGTGTGGTTGATTATCCATTTGAAAACATTTACAAAGAAAATGAGAGCTTCCGAGCTCCACACTGTACATCTCATTTTAGACGAGATTTCCTTCAATACCGCATTCTAAATTTCTGATTTATGAAAATGACATATTAGTGATTACTGTAACACCACTGTCATGGATTCGGTATTGGAAATGCAATAAGAACAATAAAAAAAAAATAAATAAAAAAAACATTCTTTTTTTTTAAGGAAATTCGACGATTGAGATTCATTTGCTAAGGAAATATGGACATAGCCGTTAACGTGAAATAACTGTTTTATAATACGATATTCCTTACAATATTCAACGTTAAAGTTGTTAATTATTCTTAACTTCAAGATCAAACTAATATATATTTATACAATTGTACAATAGAAGAATATTTGAGATGAAGCCATTTCAATTGTCTATTGCTGTATAATAATTATATGCAAAATAATTGCAATTAGCAATCGTGTATGTCCGTCTAAACTATAAAGGTTAAATTATCATATAATGATACGATATAATAATAATAATATAATATCTCCTGATTGTATAATAATTTCAACAACTTTTTTAAATCCAATATTTCTTACAGCCGTCTTTAAAACTCAATATATATTTTAATAAAATACAAATATTTATAAATATTTTATAGAAAATAGATAATTTCACACTGCCTCGTATGTAAAATTTTATAACTATTTGTATATTTGTATATTTGTATATATATATATATATATATATATGTATATCATTCTTCAAAAACAATATTAATATTTAATATTATAAAGAAATTATTTTCTATATTACCTTCAATATATATTGAATTTTGAATTCTAACAAGTATCAACTGTACAAGAAAAATAATAAAATAATATGTTTAGAGAGCAGTATAGAAATTTCATAAATTGCTGTTCGATCGATGCAAGGGAGAAAAGTATTATTTTTATATCTCGTACGAAGATGCCGATTCTATATTGCTATTTCGGTGAGGTAAAATAATAAATTGTAAACTCTATCAGTTCCCATAAGGTCCCGTCTGCTTGAGGACAAAAAAAAGGCAAAAAAGAGAAAAAGGTTCAAGATATTCTAATAAAACATTGTACATTAGGTGACGTTGCTAAATATCCTGAAACATAATTATGTTAATTATTTTACTGAAACTGAAAAATATGAGGTTCATAATCAAGTACGGAGAAACTAATTTTTCTTCGTGCAATTAGGTGAAAATTCAATAATCTCAAAACTTTCCTCGAGTCAGAATATATAAGATATAAATCTATGCTACGCGTTCATTTTGTAAATTTTCATCAGCTTATATTGTTTCCTCGTAATTTCATTTTATTACAAGAAGCAATTAAAAATAACAGTGAACATTCTTGTATAAAGCATTCCAATTGAATATTAAATAGCTTAAATTTGAGGTTTTTTCCCCGTTTTCAAGTAATATCGTGTTAGAATTGATGAAAAATTAAACAACCAACGATTTACCAGCCACTTAATAATAATACAGTTTATCAATATTTACAAAACGTAAAGAAAATTCAATACCCATATGAAGGAACTAAACTTTCTTACATTCTTGCACAAAGATTGTGTATCGTTCTCATATCGTTTACTAAAATCATAAAACTTTTCCTTCAATCAATGAAAAGCAAAATTGCAATATAATAAGCTCTATATAATTGTCAAGCAATCAATTTTTAAACTAAAAAATTTCTTAAAATAAATAAATTTACATACACACATGCGCGCGCGCGCGCACACACACACACACACACACACACACATATTGAATTGAAAATGATGTATTATCATATATTAGTAAAATTATTTATCGTTAATTTCGACCTTAATTTTATTATTGATAATCAAAGCACTAAATAGATGTAATGTAAAATTTAAATGTAATTTACATAAATTATAGCGCAGAATCTTTGATCTTTGAACAAAAAAGATAGATTAGTCAAGCCGTGAATGTTCGCGTTATTATTCCAATTTCATTGATGTTTCATAATATTAAATGGACTTAAAGTTATTGGCTAAATTTCTAAATCTACGACATTACAATTACGTATAGGGAAAACTTTGGTTGCCGAATCTAAATCACAAAGCCATTATTATTACATTATTGGCACTCGAGTGTTAAACATAACAGTTGATTCTAATTAAAAGAAATAAGATTCAAGAATTGTCATAGGAAGCTGCATTGGCGCAATGGCACTGGAATAAAAGAAAGGCGATACCCTTCTATTCGGCAATAACGACATTCAATACGATTCCACTTGAGAGTGCGCCAAATTTGAAAAGTGGCGATAAAACTGCAGTCAAATGCGGCGCAAGAACAGTTTGCTCTCTAATGGCGGTTAGCGTTTATAATTGTCGAAACAATGCCGTGACACTTAGCCCGCGTTAAACGAAACAACCTACACTGGATTTAAAAGTTATAACGAATGGGCGGGGTCGCGCTCATACGACAACAATAATTACTTTCATTCGGCATTTTCCAGATGCCTGTTGTAATTAAAATGCGCGACCATTGGCGTGTACGCTAGGTACGACGGAGCGACCTTGTTAATAGTCAACGGGACTAATCGTTACGGACAAACCGACGCAGCAGGGATCAAGCCCTTCCCCTACCACAACCATCTCCATCCCAGCCCCTCCATCCGTCGACATCGTCCTAACGTAACGTTGGCACCGATCGCCCTATCGCCCCATTGCCCCATCGCCCTATCGCCTCCACGGCGAAGAGTACGCGCGAACGTCACGCTCTCCTGCTTGTGCAGCCTCGACAACAACGAGCTCGAGTACCTCGAGACGGAGACGGTCGTGGGCCTGAAGCGACTCAAGACCCTCGGCCTCGACAACAATCCCTGGAGCTGCGACTGCCGGCTCCGAGACTTTTGCCGGCTAATGACGAGCAGCGCCCTGAGTCGGCTCTACTCGGTGCCCCAGACGTGCGTGCAACCACCGAGGCTCCAAGGCCGAGCCTGGAACGACGTCCGGTCCACGGAGTTCGCTTGCGAGCCAACGGTCCAGCTGCCCCTGAGCAGCCTCCAGGAGGAGATGAGCGGCAACGTGAGTCTGGCGTGCCTCGCGAGCGGTGACCCCGAACCCGAGGTCTGGTGGCAATTCAACGGCGAGCCCCTAAACGTCACGAGGCGCGCCCCCGACGATCTCCTACCACCAGGTGGGTTGGCTGCATCATCCTCCTCTCGACTCTAGCGAGGAGCTTCGGCTAAGCTGGCATTTTGGTTGCTCTAATTGCTTCGGGAATTTCGATCGTTGGCCGAATAAGGGAAGTGCTCGGTCGAACGTGCGATGATTTATGAGCTTCGCCTAAATACTGCAACCTTCGCAGGGAAAATCGATGAATCCTCGTGGATGCGCGATAGAGCGCACAACTCACAATGGCACACGAGCCGAGACTAACGACAATTATTGATGCATTTTCCTCAAACTCGAGCCACAATCTTTTGTTCCTCTTATTCTTCTTCCTCCTCTTCGACTTTGTCCACTTTTTTTCTATTCTTCTCGTATGTTTAGCGCGGATTTGCGCTAGACAAGGCTCGGGCTAGCTGGCCGGGCAACATTTATTTTCTTCAAAAAGTAATCTAACTTTCTTGCTGCGCGATTGTAAATTTATTGCAAATTTGCAGCCTGAAAAACGCGGGGTCCGTCACTAAGTTTGACTGCATTTTTGTCGGCGAATAATTGCGCTAAATCCCCTCTCGCGATAAATTTGAGGACGCAATTGTTGCGGTCTGTAGCTTTGGCTTATATGACGTATTGAAATAAGCTCGAATCTGCCGGGTAGACGCCGCGAAATTACAAATGCACGAGTAATTATGCTGTTCCCTTGCTTTTGCCCTGCGCTTTACTTATACACTTTCGACTACAAACGTCTTTTCAGCCAAATTTCCTACCAAGATATTCAAATTACGAGGAGACGCGTAGCCAATTAATTACTCGATGTCAAGATAATTTCACACGTATTCCCATGCATTTGGGACAATAATTTCCCTTACGTTTGTTTCTCTAGCACTCTCCGAGGGCACCATATACGCTTAAACATCATTTTTCCGCAATTAAGGGATTACTAAAACGAGACGTGTGATGGCGGGTGGGGGAGGGGGGTGAAAGAATTGTAAATGTACAATTATACTTACAAAAAATTAATTCCTTAAAAATTCCCAATTCCTTGTATCTTGAGACTTAACACTTTTTTCCACGTCATGTCATCTTTTCATCTACGAATAGACTACGTTTATTTTAATAAAGGATACTTACAACTCCCAAACAATATCTATTATAAAAACAACTATTGACAATAAGTTTTCCTCGAATCTTAACTTTATCCAATCCAATCATCGAGTCAAACTTTACAATGATGTTTGTTCGTGTAAGACAGTATATATATATATATAGTTATTAAGCACTTTATTTTCGTTATTTCGTTAATGTCGTTCTTAAATTTAATAGCCATTTTAAAAATAATTAATCCATTCTTATGAGACACGGTATGTTCGGTATCTTATATAGACTTACTACGACTCTCAAAATGCAACTTTATTTTAGAAAAAAACACGTTGCGAGATATATAAAGAAGTTTGCCAAATACTTTTTGTTTTAATGAGGAAAAACTACAAAGAAATACACTACACGGATACGTAATTTTACAGCTTATAAGATAACAAAAAATAATTCAAGTTTTTTAAGGTGAAATAAAATTTTTTTATTATTCTTTAAAATATATTTTGCCCTGAAAATGAAGAGTTAAATTTTTTATTTTAAAAATTTGCCATAAACTCTACAAAAAAATGTAGTATGTTGGGTGAATTAAAAAAATTTCTCTATTTTCAAAAATAATAATTATTTTGATATATATATATTGATATATATATATAGAATATACTATTTGAATAAGAACGATAAAAAGAAATATTCAAATGCAAAGTATTTATCAAAAGTTTCAATCTATTACAATTCAATACAAAATATTATTGCAAATTCATATATAAATTGCAAATCTAAGACAAAAACTTCAAACATATTATAAACTTATAATTCTTTATAAATAAGTACTGCTTATTTTTAATGTGTTTGGGGGGGGGGGTTATTGTATTACATAAAAATATAATAAACCTTTTGTAAAATACTGATTAAATTAATAATTTTTAATTTAATTTGAAGCAAAATTTACAAGCAACAATAATGATTAATTACTTGTGACATTCTCGATATGAACATAGTAATTCACTCAAATTTAATTATTGATGGACAGGGAAATAATATATTAAGCTTTTATTGCATTTTTACTTTATTTAATATATTTTTCGTACTATTAGAAGTGTCACGAGCATTGAATTGAATTTTTATTATCGATAAAAAATGATGATTTTTGCATCCGATTGATATTTACGATCATTTACTTTCGCAAACTTTATGTATTTTATAAGCAATGTTCGTTAAAAAATATTTGATAAGAAGATAAGACATTTTTTTATTTATATAGTTAAATTTATAGGAATTTTACGAATAAATCACAAGGCATTAATAAAATATTATATAATGTAATTTTATTCTATATTTTATTGGTAAATTTTACATAATTATGGAAATATGTATGAGAATTTTCCAGAATTATTATTCTTTCAAAAAGCAAACAATTAATTTTTGAAAATATACAGTTGCCAATTTATTTAATACATTAAATAATGTGCTTAGTAATTTTAATTATAACATGATATTTAACATTATTACTAAATTTAAAGTATTTACAAATATCTGTCACTGTGCATTTATTATAATACATGATTAAATTTAGTTTTTTTTTTTTTTTTTTTTTTTTTTTTTTTTTTTTAATTTTAACTCTGAGATTACTTAGAGATTCCATTGCTTTTATTTTATAATATTTTTAATCGTTATTTTAGCAGTTTATTTCATTTTTCAAAATGTAATTACAATGAACCACAAATTATTTCACAGTGGTAAATATGCTGAACGTTATATAATGAGTTCAACATTATAAAGCCGAAAAATTACGGAAAGTTAGAATCCATCGTGTTATGTGTCTTTGATTGTGTGTGTTGGTCGTGATCGCGAATCTCCTGGCACCGACGCTCAATGCATGAGAATACAATACAAGTACAGACGCACATGCTCCAGTGAATAGTTAAATACGCAACCATTAAATTTTTATCAAATTCTATGCTAAAAATTATCTTTATTTTACGAGTTAAAAGCAGGCGATTGATTTTAAGAGCTTTTTACAACAAATTGATATATATATATATATCGAAGAAATAAAAGTTTCAAACTCTATCCCGGAATACTAATAATTATAAATCCCCTACCGAATAGTCGTATAGGCAGATTAAAATAATATAGGCAATTTTTAATGCGAATAAAAAGTCTGGCTATTTCTACGAATAGCATGCAATTCACAAGTGATAACGTTCTCTTCAAAATTGAAGCAATTGGCCCAAAAACATTGTAAAGATAATGGCAATAAATTAGATATAATAATACAGTAGCTTGATAATAGTATATTTGAAGGGACGGTAAATGACTTTGCCATTAAACAAATGAATAAATATATGTATAAAATATATAAATGAAAGTGTACGAATCACGTAAGTATACCGTATTGATGGACTAATATTTCACTTCATAAAGTTATTTTATTTCAACAAAGCGAAGTATAACCTATTAAAATACTTTTAGTTCCTACTGTTTGAACTTACGATAATGTAATGTCTAGTGATGGGTTTATCTTTCAGAGAGAAAAATTCTTTTTATATTTGTCGTGAGCATTCATTTTCACATAATATCCTGAAACTAATTGTTTACATTTTGTGTTGACTTTAAAAAATGTCGTAAATTGTTATAATAAAATGAGATAAAAAAAACTTGTAAATTAAAAAGTAAACGATATTTTATGGCCTAGGATGATTTATTCCGCTTTATAAACAAAAGGCTTTGTAAATACTATATATTTAATGAACAAACGCTTGATCGATTATTGTTTGTTTGTTTTTTTTTTCTTAAGGAATTACTTTGACTAATTGAATAAAAAGAGGAATGTTTTTCTTAAGAATGAGTAAATTAAAAATAACGTATTGTTCAGGAGAAAATGTTTAATCGTTGCTTGATTATATATTTTCATTTGAAAGCAATATATAATGCTCGTGTGATTATTGTAACTCTTGTAATCATTAGATTAATATTGCTCTCAAACACATAAGTTCTAATCTGAGAAAGCAAAGGCTATTGAATAATAAAAAAATTTTGATTATAATATTAAAGTCTCCTCTCATTACACAATACTTTATATACTTCACTTATATATTACATATAAATTGTCCTAATGCAGTAAATTTGTATAGCTTACGTTCATTTTCTTTTTTTATGTGGTATCCCATGTACTACGCGTCTAAATAAGGCAACAATTCTCTTTCTCTCTCTCTCTCTCTCTCTCTCTCTCTCTCTCTCTCTCTCTCTCTCTCTCTCTCTCTCTCCCGATCCATCTCTTTGTTAAATATAACACTTGCATTAATTAAGCGATCAATGTCGTTCTCTGTGCAATCTTACTAATAATATAACGGTTATACACAATTATAGTCTTGCTTTAACATTGTCATCTTTATTTTTCTGAAATCGCTGGTACGTCACCACTCCCAAGTTGGATTTATCTCTTATCCTCCGATGTATTTTCATTATTTGTGAAATAAGGTGAATCGAAAGAGACATCAAAAGGCAGCTTCAGACGCTTTTATGACGCAATGTGTCGCTTAAATATTCAGCGGTAGAGAAAGGCTCGGTGCCTTATACAGATAAATTGGTTGTGCGTTCGCAGGTGATTTAACTCTAAGCATTATTTACATTAAATATTACGCATATACTTTATTACGCATAAATATGTCCTATCTCATATTTTCTATTTTTTTAATTCAATTGTTTATTATCTCGTTATTTTTATTTTTATCGTTGTTGTTTTTGTTGTAGTTGTTATTATTATTATTATTGTTGTTGTTGTTGTTGTTGTTGTTATCATCGTTATTAAGAGATAAGCTCCGCTGGATTTTGAAATGTATATGTGGTCAAATGTGCTTTTAACTTGCACCTCTAATCTTCCATTTCAGCCTTTACTTTTTACCGCTTTTATAATTGCATTTTATTTACTTTAATCATTAATTATGCCTCTTTTCTTTTAATACAAATTGTTGCAATTAGCTGCCTAGATCGTCAATTTCTCCTCTATATCTTCTATACTTTATTTATTGAATGCGTCTAATAGCTTTATTATAACGGTTAATAAATTCTGAATCATTGCAATTCCCTATCATATCGAACATTCAAAGTCCAAGCTTAAATATCACTCTCAAACAACATGTTTCTTGCGCCAATAAGTAATTAATTTGATTTTTTCCTCTCTAACAGTAGTACAAGAAAAAATTTATTGCCAAAACTGAAGGAGAGAAGTGTCAATAAAGTTATAATTAATAACATGATAAAAATAAAGTATTTGAAGGTACGCTCATATTTAAAACCGCAAAATTTAATTTCTTTTAAACTAAGCCACTAACTGATATTTCATTGTCTCGCGGTTCACGAACGACTGCAGACCGAGAATGACCCGCAAACTTAACTTTTAACAATCGATGCCACGGACTTGAGCCAATTATTCAAACATATCTGCGCATTCTAATTGCTCTTTCCTATTTCAATCTCACGGACAATAATATTAATATGCTCCTTATCACTTATCCATTCGTGCGTCCCCTCACTCAAATTATATACATTTTTCTCTCATTAACACTGAGCAATAATACAGCTATTTCACAGGCTAATTTCATTCGCTCGCTTTGTACATTAAAATTTTTCAGGCTTTTCTATTTTTCAATATAAATACATGTAATTGTGCAATATGAGTTATGAAAAAAATAATAATGAAAGAGTTACTTGTTGCATACATTCGCTTTATAAATCCTTTACAATTGTACCCATGAAATATTCAACTTGTATAGACTCGATGCCGCTAAAAAAAAGCAAATAGCAAAAAAAAAGTTTTTTTCTCCGTTGTAAATAATACTTATAATGTGGATATTGGTTATTTGTTATAAAACTCTTTTTAACAAAGAAATACAAACCTGATTTAAATGCATTTGTTTCAGTGTTGAAATATTAAATGCAAGGGATTACTGCATAATTTCTGCTTTATTTATGTATTACATTTCTTTCTTATCTATTGTTTTTTAAATACGCAATATATAATTCTTAAAAAATTATGCTTATGTTGTTCATAGAATTTTGGAGGAAAATTTCGTTTAAATTTCCGTAATACCTGAGAATTTCATTGAAATTCCGTTAATCTCTCTCTCTCTCTCTCTCTCTCTCTCTCTCTTTCTAATAATTTCTCTCACATATATATATATATATATATATTATAAGTATTTAAGCTATAATCATGTTTCATGTGTTTTATTTTAATTGAAATTATTAGGATTTTTAAGAATTATTGATTATTCGACTATGAGCTTGTACGAATAGATCATTAAATTTATAATTACAATAATAATAATGTTGTTGTTATTATAATTATTATTATTATTATTACTATTAAAATACGTACGAAATTATGGATTCTATGCGTGTTCAATCAAATTATAATACATATTTCCAATGTATATATGAAAATGTAATGTAAATGTTTACTTTGAATTTTAAATGTTATATTTTAATATGTATTTACAAAGAGTGAGAAAAATCCGTCCGATGATTTAAAGAAAGACTTGCAGACAACGTGATAGAAGTACACTCTAAAGTTTGCAAAGTGAAAGTAGATTATGCTAAAAAAAAATTGTAAATAAATGTGCATCTTTCTACCTGCGAACACGTTCACGTATATACATCCAGAGACGCATAAGTATTATCGACATATGTGTACGTGTGTGTAGATTGATTCACATACCTCGAGAAGCACTCGAAGGCTTTTTTTTTTAGTTTTCAAGATTTTTCCTCTTTAATGCGGATTGGGATTAAAATAAAGTATTTTATTTTATTTGTTCATATATATTTTATTTGTTTTATATGTGGCTGGCGGTCACTAAATATTCGGTTTTTTCATTTTTGTTTCTTGCAATTGAAATAAAAGAAATAAAATTAGATATATGCAAGTGAAAGCTTATCGCTGTCGCTTTATAAGTTAGAAACGTTTAAAATATATATTGTACGGTATTTTTTTCTTTTATATCAAGGGCTGAAGCTGGTTGAGTAAATTTTAGAATACTTATTCGTAGGACATTGAATAAACGAAGCATTAATTTTGATCATTTTCTTTTCTAATAAACAGATCTTATTTGTTAAAAATAGTAATTAACGTCGATTATCGTGATATAATTATCTAAAATTAAAACGCCAGTGATATATTAATGAAAAAAAAAAAGAAAAGAAAAACAAAAAGAATTATTATGTATGATGAATTGATATTAAATTATGTGTATATAACATGTAATCGTATTCTAAGTATATTTCAAGACGAATTTTCAATTATTAAAAGTTATAATTTAATGTTATTCTCGAACATAATTTTCAGTAAATCTGAAAATTTAAAATTACAGTATCCTTCGAGCATCTCGCATAAATCGCTAATTATCATTTTCGAATGTTTTAATTATGTGAGAAATTGTGGCTTTATTTAAGAAAATTTGGAGAAGTATTTTTGCATAATCATTGAAGATATTTTATTGGCAAAATTTTATTGTAAATAATGTGTGCACGAGTTGTTGGAAACTGATTATATACAATATAAAAACATAGATTATAGTATTCGAAAATATAATTTTTCTAGGAATTATAATATTATACCGTGTTGTACTAACGGTCATAACTACCGTTATTCATTCTATTTATTCAGAATAGAGTACAGAGACAATATTAATAATAACGATAAGAGTATTTATTATTTACAAATATATTGCACTGAGCATTAGAATACTACATTAGCTGTAAAGTCAAATAAATTTTCTTATTTAATGTTGAGTAATTCGCATAATTATAATTTTTGATAGTTTGAGAAATGAATAGACGTATGAGAGTAATTTAACGGCAAGAGATTTAGTTTATCTATAGATAAAACCTAACGATACATTTAAACTTCGCCAAAATGATGGCAAATTATGAGCTCAGAAATTGAAAAATTCGCGCGTTACGTTTATTATGTTAGAAACAATCGTCGCTTCGATTACAAAAATTTCTAAATGACCGATAATTGTCAAAAATTGTCAACTTAATGCTATGGCCGCACAAGCACATGATTTCTTTGACTAATTCACTGAATATCACGATAGCCTATCCAAATTTTATCGATGGGAATATAAATATTAGTATTCTAATGACTGATAGCGAGAATTGAATTGATCCTAACACAAATAAGCACTACTCCTTCTATCGACAATGATCAATGCTCATTAATGAAATAACCACAAAATCATTTCACAAATATTAAAAAAAAAAAAAAAAAAAAAAAAAAAAAAATCACAATAAAGTAAGAGAGAAAAATCACGCAGTCTCGCAGTTGAGGGGTGCAGGACCGAATGCAGTCGCGGCCAAATTGAATCTACTTTTTCACCCGTAAATGAATAAAGAAGGAGATAGGATGGAGGATAGGAAGGAGAGACGAGGGACCAAACAAAGTGCCTTGCAACTATTTTTCCCCGAGTCTGGAAAAGGTAGGAATGCTCTTTAACACACGTCCCTACGTCTATATCCATCAGGTGGGCTCGTGACGTATTCGACATCCCTGGAGGCTCGTCGACGACTGCTGGAACGATGGAGCAACCTGACGATTTATAACGCGAGCGACACCGACGCCGGGGAATACACGTGTCATGCGCGCAACGTCGCCGGCACTGCACACGGTAGCATTTCCGTCAACATACCCCGGGTCTTCACCGCGCCGACCCTCTCCAAGACCGACCACTGGCTCCTCTGGCTGAGCCTCCTCGGTGGCGGTGCCGTCGCCCTCTGCGTATCCGTCTCCGCGGTCCTCCTCGCGATCTGCCTCTGCGGTAGCGCGAAGAGGCGCAATCGCAGTGCCAAGGTCAAGCTCCAGGTGAGCACGAGCTTCGGCGATCAGGAGAAGAAGCTGCTCGACCTCTCCATGACGACGACGGCGACGAGCGGTGCCAGGGGCCAGCAGCGGGTTCAGGTGAGTCCCGGACAGTCTGCCCGCTGATACACGAAACGAAAACGTCGCCGGAAGATAAACCGGGATTCCAATAATTCCTTGCTCGGTGCATTGGGACGTGAAACCGGACATTAGCGCCTTAATAACCGACATAACTTATTTCTTGTAGAATTACACGAAAACTTCTTATGCACTTAACGAGCTTAACAAATTTTGCGAAGAGCTAAGCTTCTAAAAAGTTTTCCAGCAACGGCTCGCACAGCTTCTTAAAAATACTGTTTACCGCACTGTCCATAACTCTTAAAGACCTCGCGAAAAAGCAAGGAATTGCCGAGCATAACAGTTTTGCAAATTTTAACCTCCCAATGAATTATTGACGAGTTTTATGTTGTCTGGGGGATGGAGATGACGCGTTCCTCCGCCGTCGGGAGTCCAATATACAAGTAATCGTCGATGTTATAATTCTTAATGCATGCAATAATGTTTCGGAACAGCACTTATTACGTGTCATTAATCTTTATCATATGAGTTGTGTTTAAAATAATATTTATCGTTGATGGTTAGGATTGAGTATAGATTTTTATGATGCGCGGTTAGGCAAACGACGCGCATAATTCAAATAGAGCGTAGAATAATATAAATTTTATAGCTCCTTTGGATTATTTAAACTGTTGATAAATTTATATCTAAATGTGGTGTGGGAAGGAGGGGGAGAAAATTGAAGATCGCTTATTACTTTTAATAAGTCTTACTTTCAAATAGATCCAATTATAGGGGGAAATTTTTTTTTTTCTTCTTTTTTTTAATTCTCTTTCTTTTTCTTCTACGAAATAATAATGAATGAGAATTCTTGATATATCAGACTGAAAAATCATATGAAAAATACAAATCTTTTTCAAAAAGTGAATAAACTTTATCTAAACTTGTATCTTAAAAATTTATGAATATTGTTTACATTGCTAATAAATAACGGACTTTATGATAATACTTTTGTAGACGCGAACATATTACTAATTTTGGAAAATATCGATATAAAAATTCAGAGTTTGACTTTCTTCGTGAAAATTTTTCTACATTCAAATGTACGAAAAGTATTTTTACTTCACTAGACAAGCATTTTCGATGTTTATTCGCAATGCGCCGCCTTTAAAATGAGAACACAATTAACATAATATTTTAATACATATTAAAGTAAATTAATTTCATATAGATGATAAATTCAATAATTATCATAATAAAGAGGCTGTTTGTATAAATTGCTTAAACTTTTCAAGCATTTTAAATTTAAATTATTCGAAGTCCGAAACGGTCACATAGAATTATGCATTTATAAATATCAATCTCTGCACGGTACAGACATTGCATAAATAAATTACCTGATTAAATATCCATTTAAGCAACTGCTTTTTAGCTACATATCATGAATACAAAACGAACCGAAGAAATTTATACATGACAAATTAAATTCTACATTCATGTACCTATGTAATTATTATGGGCATGATTTATGCGTAATTCTTCCGTAAGTTAGAAAGTTGAAATTACATAAAGACTTGCATCATATTTTCAGATATATTGTGCATAAATTTATATCACTCGTCCATACAAAGCAAATCCCTGGATAGGATTTAAAACAAAAAGACAAAAAAAACATAATAATCTTTAATGATCATGTTCGAATTAATTATCAATATATGGAATTCTTTTAAAGAGGCAATGAAACTATGAATATATAAACTTTTAGATCTACAACTGAATTTATCTCTTTTTTTAGTTGTTTTTTTTTTATTGTTTACTTTAATCGCGTGAAACAAAAAATTACATTTTTAAATATTCACCATGAAAAACTGATCTGATAAATTTTCAATATAAAAGTAAAAAAAGAACTTTATACGTACAATTAAAATATTAGTAGATATTAAAAAGTAAATGATCGAGTAATAATGTCTATATGTTCATAAATTGATTTATAAAAAAATATCTACTCCGACAACCATGTAAAATAGAAAGTAAATATCAAGATTTGAATTATAGATATGTTTAAAAAGATATAACAACAACAAATAAGTAAAAACAAATGACAATAATAATATTGAATAATATAACATGGACAAAGATAAAAATAATTGAATTCATTTGATCTCCTTATTTGATCTCTTTATTACAAGTCTACAGGCTTTTAATGATTTTATTACTCTACAATGAAAGAGGAATTTTACTTAAAATAATGAGTGAAACGTCATTCTTGACTTTAAAATCAAAAGTCTTACAGTGATCGTAGTGTATGTATATTCAACTTTTCTTTGATATTTTTATACTATTTGATGTATTAAGGGATAATTTAAAAAAAAAAAAAGTAAAAGAAAAAAATGCTTATAAAATCCTTTCTATCAGTATACACGTGAAATAGGTGAGAATATATATTTTTTTTTTTTTTAACGGAACTTAGTTTAATTGAACATTGAAGTTTTACTACAATTTTCTTTTTCTAGATTTTGTTCTAAAAAAAAGAAAAGAAAAACTTGCTATCAATTTTAAAACGGAGATTTTTTTAATGCTGCATTTAATATTTTAATTAGTATTAAATAATAATTGTACACGTCTAATGAGGAACTTGAGCTCCTGAATAATTAAAAGAAATAAACAACCGTGGTAATTAGAATGTTAAAATATATTTCTCGAATGATAATAAAATAAATAACATCGAATGCACACCAATTAAAAATTAATTCATTAAATTATTTACGTATTAAACAAATTATCTTCTAGTTCGAATTTTCAGTAATCCAGCTGAACGTTCTGGAACGTAATTTATTTCAGACTACATAAATATATTACATTCACAAATGATAAATTTCATCATTTCCATATCGGAGAGCACACTAAGTCCAATTATATTTTTAAATCACATTATCAAAATAATTATTGAATACATAATAACATGGAACAAACCAAATTGTAAATATAAAATATTTTACACGGTAGATGATATTTTTCATCACCGGACTTAAATGAGACCTTATTTGCCTTGCGTAACTTGTAGTTCATTGCATTGAGAACTAATCATGTTGAATTATTTGTAAGAGAATTTCGTATCTAATTGGTTTTCATAAATAATTATTTATATACCCTATAATATTGTATATAATATATAATATATAATAATTGCTATAATATATAATATAATATTGTCGATACTTTAACAATTATAATGAACGTAAATTAAAGCATTGCGATTGTTGTTAGTTACGCAGAGAATTCTAAATATTATTATGGATATATGAATTTTCTAAAATGTAATGTTAATTTTAAATCGATGTAATCATGTAAATATTTTGTTAGAATATCGTTAGAAAATTATTCGTTATTTATATATAAAATTGATCGATTCCAAAACTTAATTAATAGTAACGATAATAATAATAATAATAATAATAATAATAATAATAATAATAATAATAGTAATAATAATAATAGCATTGTCGATAGTATTAATAACATTAGAGTAATAAAAACAGTTGATACACATAAAAAGAATAGTTTAATCTACGTATTTTTTTACCTTTATCTGTAATTTTATTTCTAATCTTTTTTGTCTTGCAGTAGCTATGCCTTACAAATCTTTGACGATTTATATTGAAAAGAATTATAATCTTAATAAATTATTTAATAAACCCCAATCAAGATATTAATCTACTGCTCCAAATTGAAAATATAAAAGCAAACGTCTGCAACGAAATATCGCTATTTCATTAAACGCCCTTATATAATTAAAGCCTTAAAAATATGAATAAATGAAATAACAGTATTTAAATTGCAGATTTCACAATAAAAACAAATGAAATTGAAAAATTAACAGCATGATGGAGTTTTCAGTATTCAATTAGCAATTTAAAGTACTATAGGCACTATTTTATTTTGCAAAAACACAAGAATGTATCGAATTTTATTTTGAAGATATATTTTTTCATATTTTTCGGTAAATGCTTCATCAATGCTGTATCAATAAGTAAATACAACAATTCCAAATAATTTTCAGATTTATAATTTTTGACAAACGAATGATGAACTAAATTAATTAACGATCGTTATCCACGATATTTAACAAACAGAAGAATATTAATTTCACTTAAAAATAACGTTTAATAACGAAATTGCATATTTAACTTTTGCAATATTACATTATATCATATAGCAGTTGTTGTTTATTTTATTAAGCAGCATACTCGCATTTTCGGTAGAACACCCTTTTAGCGAAATTTGAAAAGGAGTACGAATAGCTCGTTTTTCCTTAAATTATTATTCCTTTTAATATATTTGCTCCATGCCATTCAGTTCGTCTAGTTTTCACTATTCGATCAGTCGAATAGTCTCTACTCACTTTCTTTCCCGAGATATTTTAAAGCTTACTAAAGGAAAATAAAAAAAATAAAAGGAAAAAATTCCAGCTAACGAAGCAACGAAAATACCGAAATCAATGATCAAAGGCTAAAACGGCCCTATTTAATATTTGAGAATAATTATTATGCTCGAGTTGCATAACCTTCCTTAATTATGAGACAAATGCATAAACATAAAAGCTCCCAAGGGACACGAGATAGCATATCCTATTCACCGGTAAAACTGTGATAAAACCATACGCCCCTAGACAACCAAGCGGCCGCGACCTAACCGTCCCCTCTCCAACGCAGCAGCCGAACCGGACAGACGCTTCGGGCCCAAGAGTCCAGCCGCAGTCGGAACTCGAGCTGGAGCCACGGCTGCGGCCCTCGCAGGCGAGCGTCACCGTCGAGCGGCTCAGTCTCCAGCCTGAGCCGAGCCTCCTACGCCCTGGCCGCTGCCTCAGCCCGGTCCTCCCGGCCAACATCTTCATCGCGGTCTCGCTCGCCTCCCATGAGCAAGTCCCAACCGCCGAGATCCACGAGCGCTGCTATCCGGACCTCCTCGACATCGGGCTCTCGAGTTTCTCGACCCTACCACGATGCACTGCCGGTCGCCGGGAGCTCGGCTCTCCCTACGACAACATGGGGCCCCGAGTCACAGCAACCGGCAGCTCCACCTTCTCGCTCGTCGAGCACCCGGAGTCTCAACCAAAGTCCCAGCAGCAGCAGCAGCAGCAGCATTACCACCATCTGGCCACCAGCCAACAACAGTCACAACAGCAGCAGCATTGCCAACAAAGACAACTGGGCATCTTTGCCCCCCTTATTCAACCACCACCCGAGTTCGTCTCGCTCTAAAAGTCGCGACCTTTGCCTGTGGCATGGAGAGATCCTCCCGAACTCTCGCCACTACCTCGACATGGTTCGATCCATTCCATTCGCACGACCCTTCAACATCCCTAAATAATTCTTTGTTTTCCCGAATGTGCGATGTCCTTTCGCGCGAATCAGTTTCTTACATACTTAATTAGCCGATGGTTCGCAGACGATATGCAACGCTAATTAGACAAGGCATTGAAAGCCATCGAGCGGAGAAATTGTATTGTATAGTGGAGACCGAGTAGGGTGGTCGATGAGTGTCGAACAATGGATGTAAATTTTAAGGGGAACGCGACTCAATGACATGTCGAGCTTTATTTGTCATATTTAAAGATCGGAGGCGTAAGGCATTTCATAGACTTACTCTTTTTATAGAGATAGGCGTCGTGGTTTCTTGACTCGACTGCGCGCGTTACACTTCCCTCATCGTCATCGGCACTAATGACCTGACTACATCGGCTACCTAAGGAACAAAGAGCTGCAATTTACGTTGGAAGAAAATTTAAACGGTAAATCGTACGCGAACGAGGAGTAACGAATGAACCGCGAACCTCGTAATCCAGAGCGGAAAAGCCCAACGACGAAGCCTCTTTCATTATTCCGATTTTTCATCCCACATGAGGATGAGGGCTTACTTCGACGGGTTAAACAGCGTCCTCCCTCGCCTCCTCACCTTAAATACCGTCATCGATGATCTTTTACCGCTAATGAACTACGTCGAGTTACCGCTTATGAGACACCATCACAATAACCGACCATAGAGCCGTTGAGTGCCAAGCCATTTGTACATAATTCATAAAACTCCTTTATCCGAATCTTTTTCCAATGGAAAATTATTTAAGAATAATTATCTCGCAAGAAAACGAAGAGTTAGAATGAAATAAATACAAATTATATAAATAATCTCCGACCTTTTCCCAAAAATTCCCATCTCTTTAATAAAAAAATCGAATACAATGGAATAGCCAATAAGCAAGAATTGCGAACTGTTCTTGTCAATTTGGTTTGTCCAAGTTTTTATATAAATGATAAAATAGTTTGCGAAAAATATTTTCCACGGAAACGTTTTTAAGTTTTAAGCGTAGTATCGTAATGTGAGTAAACGATCGATAATATATATTAATTATTAGTATTTAATGCAGCATAGCATTAAAAGTAATGTAAACAAGCTCGATTTTCGATTTGTCGCGCTGGATGGGGGAAAGGGGGAGGGAATGATGACGGGCGAGGAGGGAGGGAAGAGGAAAAAATCTTTAAAAAGGAATTATTACTTGTTTTAACCTGTAATTTATAATGCCTTGATATGGTAAGTAAATTTACTCAACAAGCCTTTGAATCGAGAAGTTTTTATTATTATTGTTTGTTTGTTTTCTTTCTTCTTTGGTTTTTTGTTTACTCAACGAATACATAAATAATTCATTCCATCATTCGTTCCTATTATCCTTATTCCGATCTTACAATATTTTTCGAACTATTTCCGTTGAATATTAAAAAATATTTACATAAGTATGAATAGAATAAGCTATGGATAATTGTTAAGAAAATATTACCGCTATTTATAAATAATAAAAGTAAACGGAATTGATAAGAATTCAAAAGCTTTTCCCCTTTTTCTTCCCAACTCTCTACCTCTTTTCTCTTTTCGCACATTATGATATGTAGATTTGTTAAATCAACCAACCCGTGTAAATACTTGTTACATTATAAACAATCGTAAATACGTATGTGTATATACATGGACGATGTATATGCAAGGCGCGTACGTGTAAGTATTTCTAAAGGCAATTATACTTGCGCACTCAAAAATACAAACATACGTAAGCTTACATGGATAAACGGATTGGCAGAAGAAAAATAAATTACACCCTTGCAACACGTGTACATCAATATTTATCATCATAGGCTTTGTCAATTAATACGAAAATAAAAATGAAAGAATAACGAAAAAAGCAAAAACAAAAAAAAAACAAAGGATTAAAATTCCATGCTAATCTGTTGTAATTTGCTTTTGAAATCAATGTGTCCAGAGCATTTCAGCTACTTTTAACGTTTCAAAGACACTTTCAACATTCGCGATGACAAAATTAAGTACGATAAATCACATTATCATGACGCGCCAAAATAAATAAGCATAATTGTTTTGCCAGAAAATTGCGTAAGAGCGCTGAAAAGATATTAATCGAGTGCTAAATGCCGTCATGTACTTTCTTCCCGTCAAACAAACAAATAAAAAACAAAAAAACACAACAAAATTCACTTCCATTTACGAAATTTCAAAAGATGTTCTTTTATGCTAAAATTTCATTTTAAGATGTAATTTTGTAAGAAAACTTTTCGTTCTCTTCATAGAACGTGTGGCTGTATGTATAATGCAGTTCATAATAATAACAATAAGGATAATAATAATAATAATAATAATAATAATAATAATAATAATGATGATAATGATAATGAAAGAAAAAAAATAAACAAAAAAATTAATAAATCAATAAATAAATAAAAAATTATAACATTACAATTGCAACTTTTTTTATTGGAAATATCCTCGATTACAAGTACGAATGTATAATTTGAGAAATAATTTTATCAGGATAAAGAGTAATTTGCATCGCCCGATTATTTATACTCGATAATTTAAACTTTAATCCTTTTACTCCTGCTTTATGTCGTCCACTTCGTGTCCGAGCTGAGGAGATAAATTATCCGCAGCCTGCAGTTGATCCACATTTTGAAAATCTGCTAAATGCCAAAAGAAAAAATTTTTTCTTTATACCGTGAAATAAAACGATGCTAATTATTACACTTTTGGCTTACTTGGTATGATAAGGAATAATGCCCAGGGTGCAATAGAATTTCTTCGCTGAGTTGCTAAATAATACTCTAGATTTCTCAAACTTTCCTCCCTTTCTCCAGACTCTGAAACATATTTCATATCCCGACGTGTATAAACAACTAAAATTGAAATATTTTAGATATACGCTTCGCTTCATATCAATATCAACTACGGCTTGCTTTACATTTTATATTTTACAGAAAGTTATACAAAATATTTGGTTACAATCTAAATATAGACGAGCACGGACTATCCGATTACGTCAAAAGTCTTCCAAGTCACTTTAAACTACGGCCTTTCAAAACTTTTGATAAGGAAAATTACCTACAAGCTTCTATATTCCCATGCTTAAAGCAGGTGAAAAGAAAAATTAAACATATCGTCGGTTGGTTATTACGTAAACCGTAAAATAGCTAATAATATATTGTCATTTTAAAGGTGAATAGCGAAAAAATTATTAACTCTTAGCCTCCAAGTAGTCTCAAATAACAAAAAACAAAATGAATTCTACCTTTTTTCTCACTTTTTTTTACGTTTTTTTTTTACGTTTTCATATGATGCTACTATTGGCCCGTTCGTAAAACTGAATAAAAATTAATTATCTATTGCTCTTCGAGGCGCCGTTTGATTAACATTGAATCGCGAAATTATAATTTATTTGAAATGCAATTTTCTTCTTTTTTTCTGTTCTTATGCAAAATTACGAACGATAAATATCTTTATAATCTTGTCGTTTCGCATAAATCGCGAGACTATCGCTGCTATATGCCTGTATTATATAAGAAATCCAAAATAATTAAGGAAAAGAGATGCTCAGTATGCCACTTTAGTTACGCAGCTTTAGTGCGTATCGCGTTCAATGCAATAATCACAACGAGAATATTGACGCGATGTAAGAAATCACGTGTACTAATCGGAGAATAAACATTGAAGAGTAAGCGGGAAATGCAACAACAAGAACAATAAGAACAACAATAGACAATAATGAGAGTACGTGTTTGTAAAACTCGGTAAACGTTACCTCACCCCCAATCCCGCGCACTTTCATGGCAAATTCCAATATCAAATAAGGCTTCTTCCTACCTTCGACCGCACAATCGCATGCGTCCCCTTCGTGATCAGAAGATTCCATAAGAAGATTCCAGCAGAACCAGCGAGAATGCGAGGCCGAAGAGATTTTGAATCGGCCAATGATGAAAAGTGCACGACACATACGTACCTGGTCGGTGATTGGCCGAGCTCCCGGGGAAGCGTTCGTAGTCGCGGTGGCCGTCGGTCGAACTGTCCTCTTCGGTCTCACGATCCCAGTCGTTACTGGACAGGGCCGGATCCGATCTGCCGACCCTCGGTTGCTTCACCAGTCCAAAGACCCGGAGCGCCCTCGCGAAGGTCGGTTCGAGTCGACGTCCCGGCCGCTGCAAGGGGAGCCAGAGAAGCCTTTTGCTGCAGGCTGAACGAGAGAAGGAAATGAGTACCCAACCGAAGCCATCGAAGCTGCGATGAAAATCCAGATTCCCCAATGGAATCAAAGCGACTCGTTAACGGCCATGCACATTAGGCACCGCTTGTCCTCGGCAGCAGCGCGACCTCGCCTCGGCTACATAAGCTTCCGCGCCCAGCCAATTCCCGCATAATTATCGGCGGCTGAGGAAAATCGCGCCCGTCCATCCCTTTCATCTATCAAGCGCACCCTCGGCTGAACAATGCTTCATTTTAGGAGTGCTCGCGGCCCCGCTAAGCCCCCGACCTGCTGCGTCAGCCTTAATCGAGCGACTAAAGTACCCCGCCGGCTGCAAATAAAGCGCAAAGAGCCCCGGCCGCTCCACCGCCAAATTCATTAATCCTCGCGGATCTTTCGCGCGAGTCTCCCGTCTTTTAAATATTAAATATTCGGCCGCTCGTCGCATTCGTGAATCTCGCGAGGGGCTTGAGCTCACGATCGCTCCTACTTAGCTTTTAAAAATGGTGCAAGCACGAGGGTAAGTGGCGTTAGATGCTAGCGTTAGATGGTGGTGGTGGCGGTGGTAGCGGTGGTGGCTGTGGTGGCGGCGGGCATGAGGAGCGGCGGGAGTTGATAAAGAATACTTCACCTGAAGGCGAAATTCCGCTGAGACACTCGCGTGCATCTTGGATGTAGTTTTTTGACGCTTTGGCTGATGTACCTGTAAATATGTTAATTTAGACGTGTGTTGGTGCGCCCGTGTGCGTACGCGCAAGTATGTATTTTTCAAATTTATCATTTTCAAAGGCATCATTTTTCAAAGTCTCGGTACGTAGTTTTGGTACTTTGATAGCATTCGTTTTAAAACAATGTATTATTGAGATACTTTCGAGTGCTTCTTGCCTGCATATAATATACGACGATATTTTTCACTTCTTGTGTACTTTGCGGTTTTTATGTGTGATATAAATTTCAAAAATATGTTGATTAGCACGGTAATTTCCATCTAAGCAATGGGATTGTTTTTCCCGCGTCCCTCTTTGCTTCTTAAGGGATTGAACGCTAATTTATCGATAATTAATGAAATGTGTCATTCTACAAGTTAAATTCTCCGCGTGAATATCGAAATTAAATTTTAAATTGCTAAAATAGTTATGTGTAATCGGCTCTCGTTGCTTTGATAATGCGTATGAGATTTAAGATTTTCCAAACTGTCGACGATCCCTGTGCGAGCAATCAGAGTGTTCTCATCCAAGCAAAATAAAATTCGAGAATGCTTTCAATTTAGACTTATTAGATTAAAATTAGAATATAGTATTATTGGTAATGTTGATGTATTGGTAATGTGGATTCCGGTAATAATAACAAAATTTCCTTAAATGCCGAATTAAGAGGGAGCTTTGTTAATCCTGTAATATCACTTCAATTTATAATACTTTTTAACGAATCTTTTAAAATATGAATCGAGCGCAGCTTTGATTTATTTCATTAGAAAAAGGTAATTTTTTGAGCTATAAATTTATTAAAAAATGTACGATTGAATCTGAAAAAAAATCTAATGGAAATGGCTAATCTGTATGATTCATCATTTAGAGTTATGGTATCGACAGTCATTACGAACTGTTTTAATTTTAATAGAATAACTTTTTTTTTCCTATTAGAATCTATTATATAGTAGATGTACTTTAAAAAAGCTCATAACAGCCCAAATACATAATGAGGTATAGAAAAAAAAAAAGAGGAATTTAATATACTTAGAGGTAGCTGTGAAACAAAGACGCTAAGCTACCAATACGCGTGCAAACTAAATTGATTAATTAACTTGAAGGAAGATGCAAATATAAAAGTCAGTTTATTTTTGCAAGGATTTTTTCTCTTTCATGTCCCCTTCTCCACACTCCCCACACCCCCTTGCCCGTCTCTTTCTCATTCGCCCCTTTTTTTCTCTTTCACGTGATGAATAAGCTATCTCTAACAGCATATCTTGCTTTTACCTACTATATAAAGCCACTCGTATATGAAAGTTACTTTGGTAAAAGGCAATTAGAAAATATTACAAAATCTTTTTGCAAATACATGGCCCATGAATTATGGGAAGAAAATTTTTTAATAATATTTTTGACCGTCCAATAATATCAATAATGTTATAATGAAAAAGTACCTGCAAAGCAACCCCCACCTCCACTCATCACCCTTGCGATAAAAATATTTCTTGATTACCAGAGAAATTATTATTACAGAACCTATTGTTCGTGTACAAAATCCTTCATGTAAAAATGATATTAATCATTTCCTGTTGAATTAGATAACTATTGAATAGCTAAACATGATATTTTAGGTGCCGATGATAATTTGACAATATTGCTTAGTTTAGATAATTACACTAGTGACTGGGCTGACGGGACTTTATTAAACGAAACAAATTTTTCAGCGGAGTATAACTATAACTATCCCTTTGGAATTTATTTCGAGCAAAGGATGCATTTTCTCGAAAATCGTCAATTTAGCGAAAGTAAAATTCATTCAAAAATTCAAATGTAAAAATTATGCCATTCACAATGCCACATTGGATATTCTATACTCCAGGTAAGTGAGAATAAAAACTTTTCTAATATTACGTACAAATTACTCCCTTCTCCACGACCCCGAATCCTGCCACTCAAACTTTTTACGTTTTATAATTAACATAAAAATTTGATGAAATTTTCACCATATTCCGCTAAAATGTTGCCAAAGCTATTTAATATTTAAATTCAAAATAAATATTTATCACAACTGTCGTACTTCGGTCTATTTATTTATTAAAAATTTTGTAACACATACGTATGCAAAGAGTACGCGTAATTTTTTTGCATCGGAGCGTAAAACATTTCGTACGTATGCAATGGGCCGTGACTTAAAATTTTTCAAATTCAGAGTCTAATAAATTTATCGAATTTTCAAACGGTATTTAACGAAAAATTTCCCAAATTCACATTCCAAAAATAGCGGTATTCAATCTATATATAATAATGTTCAACTTGCCGTCTATATCGACGTAGAGTAACACGAGCAGAAGACAAAAATCCGGAAACTTCTTCATCGTGTTTGGCTCACTGCTGGGACACTGTGTGCCAGCAATTTCTACCGATGGATTTTTATATACCTCGGTGTCGATAATTTTGATGACCCCCGAGGGTGCGACTTGATTGTCATCCGGTGGACCCCTGACACGAACCCGGTCATTCCCAAGTATTATAATTATGATAATACACTCCTCGCGTTATCTAATTGGATCTATCTTTAGACGACTGAATGTAGTTTAATAAAATGTTGAAATAGCTTCGGGCTCATTCAGGAAAGATAGCGAAGCGCTTTAATTAACAACTTTATTATGAAATCGCCTTATCTGACATTGCTTTGGAAGCTAATAATTATAATAAATGCACTCTTATGCTTCAGTTCAGAGCAATTTCTTTCAATTTTCAGAAACTTTTGTCCATCAAGAAATGCATCGACTGAGCCTGTCTTATGTCAAAGTTATAATCATAATTTCCATTATAATATCCCGTTGTGTCTCGGTAGCTCCTGATTTGAATAACCACGTAAAAAATGATTTTTTTTTTGTCGTCTTCTTTGTCTTTCTCTTTTGTACGCTAAAATATCGTTGGCGCAAAGCATTATATAATTGGACATTTTATTCGAAATTTTACGTTCGATAAAGCACATGGGCGATTGAATGCCAAATTTGAAATTAGTATTATCCTTGCGCGCAGATTTAATGGAAGAGAGAAAAAAAGAGCCCTGATTTTCAATTTAATTGCCATTCAAATCAATAACAATTCTAATGATCTGCTAGCTCGTAGCATTTTACTTGTTTCAAAACACGTAATCAAGCATTGTATTAAAAATACTCTTTCTCCTATTTTGCATACAAACGTTTCCTCCTCCATAGAAAATTACAAACTCTAATGCTATTTCATTGGCTCGACACCACGGGATAGTCAAACAATTTATTTAAAACAAACAGATGATATTATGTGTTATATTGCTGAATGTTTAATCAACCTTCATACGCAATAGAATTTAATAAAAAAAAATAAATAAATAAAATAATTATTACCCAACGTATAAAATATTTTTCTTCTTTTTTTTTTTTTAACGGATAGTAAATAATCGACTGAGTTTAAGTAATTCATTACTTCAAGGCCTTTTATTACAAATTCTAGGTACATTTACATATATACACGACAGTAGACATAAATGGTATTGTCTATTTGCAATAACAACTATACTTCATTGGAATTCGATTTACTGTCAAATATATTTCTAACGCTATACTCATATAAATCCGAGTTGATCTTCTTTAATCTTTCAATTTCACTTAAAGCCTCGTTAAGTTGATCTTTAGAATCATCTGAATCTGTGCGTGATCGATTCCCATTGCTTGATTGCGAATCAAAATCTAATAGCCACGAATCATCTTGATCCCTTTTACAAACTTCCAAAAAATTGTTCTTACTTTCTGCATTAGAAACTTTGTGTAACGATCGAACTTGTAAACTTGGTTTAAAATTGTTTGTGGTAAAATTGTCGTAAGCGGTGGCAAAGAATGCGGATATAATTGGTGCTTTGTGTTTAAGAGTGAGAATTATTTGAGAGCTCAAAATATCCCACAAATAAACAAATCCATCTAGAGAACCAGTGAGCAAAGTTATATTGTCAATGGATACCGATAATGCGGTAATGCCACTTTCGTGCCCTTTAAAAATCTTGAGCTTGTCATTATCTTTCGATGATACGTGATGTTCTATTCCCCTCGGTGGATGACGTAAGTTGCACATCATTACTAATCCAGTCGAAGAACCGACAAAAAGATTATTCTCCATGATATCCATACAAACCGATACAAGTGGAATGTCAAAAATTAATGTTAATAGTAATAAGCCAGCATGAATGTCGTATATTCTTGCTGATCTATCCAACGAAACGGAACACAACCTACCAAAGCATCCAACCTTGCCAAAATAGAGATCCTTAACTGGTAGCGAGTGATGAGAAAAAGAACTCAACGATTTTACCTCTTTTTCGTTAGTTAGCTGACTTAATAGCCAGACAAAAATTAAACCATCCTCTGCACCGCTTGCCAAACAAGATCCATCTTTATTAAATATCAGGCAGCTTATGGTCTGATAATGTCTTGCAAAAGAGTTAATTAACAAACCGTTACAGGATTGCCAAATATAAATCTTTTCGTTTATCGCTGCAGCTATATATGAGCCATTGGGTGTACAGGACAGTGCTGTAACTCTACCAGGCGTTGCAAGTCTTGGAAACTGTATCGGTGTTTGACTATTTAAAGGCCACAGATGCAATATTGGTTTAGTGGCACTCGAAGCTATTAGGTAAGAATCCTTCAATAATTGTAGCGAATGATGACCTAGGGTACCGGCATGCTTATACGTAGAAGAAAGTGATCCAGTACAAGGATCCCATGTCGCAGCACTCCAATTTTCATTAGAACTATCGCAAGTAACAATAACTTCATGAGGACATCTCATTCTGAAAATAAGTCTACCAAAAAAAATATATACTTTATTACAAATTACAGATACAATTACAACAGATAGCACTTTAGAGAAATGTACCTCTTTGTTGATAAAAATAAAGGCCACGTGTGTTTTACGTAAAGTAACCTAACCAACTCTAACCGAGAAAATTACTAAAAAAGAAAATTTAATCTATAAACCGTCGATAAGAAGCGAATGATTTTTAAGGAATCTATCCATTATTTATTGACTTTGTTAACGAAGCATTTAAGACCAGTTATATTGAAATCACCGGTGTCACTTTTATTGCGGCTAATGATTGCTCGGGGGATATCGCTTCTGCACTCATACAAATACAATTCTACGCTACCTGTGTTTGGCTGACGCAGTAATCGTCAAGAGAAGTTTCCAAAACGCTAAAATTAGGAACAATAATGAAGGCTAAGGCACAGGTACATAAAATTTTATACGTTTAATGCAGGTATATAGTACATAAATAATTAAAACAATATTTTTATTTCACAATAAAATCGTAAATTGTAAATAGTAAATATATATATATATATATATATATATATATATATATATATGCACAGACGTGCTATGGATGATGCATTTTGTTTACGTATGATAATTAATGAATTTATCGTTATAAAATTTTATACCTACTACTGCGAAAGAGACAATAGATATTTGCAATGATAAATGGAATGTCATCAATCACTTATGTTTATTAACCTACCTCATTGAACGATTCATTAGAAATAAGAATCGGCTTAAAATCCTTAATATTTATAAATGAAATAATAATTATAAGCTAATACGTAGAGTAATAGGAAAAGAAGAAAATTTGCCTAATAATATTTACACCAGAATAAAATTACACATGAAAGTATAATTCATATACGCGTACGCACACGCATGCACACATATGCCATATATATATATATATATATATATATATATCACAGAATATTTGTATTAAATAAATATTATTATTTTTGCACAGCTAAAAGAGTACGAAGTGATAGGACGTAAATTACCAACAGCAAAGGAAAAAACTACGCCGCTTTATAAGATGAGAATATTTGCTTCGGATACAATTATTGCCAAGTCAAGATTTTGGTATTTCTTACGTCAACTTAAAAAATTTAAGAAATCAACTGGTGAGATTGTATCTTTAAAGCAGGTAATAATAATTTGGTGTATATTGGTAATACTAATCGAACTAAATAATATTGAAACTATTTGAATTAATTGTTAAAAAAAATTACAATGTTAAAAAATTGTTACAGATACCAGAAAAAACACAGATAAAAATTAAAAATTTTGGTATATGGTTGAGATATGATTCACGCTCAGGAACACACAATATGTACCGTGAATACAGAGATTTATCTGTAAGCGGTGCAGTTACACAGTGCTACAGAGATATGGGGGCACGTCATCGGGCAAGAGCTCATTCTATACAAATTATAAAAGTAGAAATTGTGAAAGCTGCGAACTGCCGTCGACCACAAGTAAAACAATTCCATGACTCAAAAATACATTTTCCACTGCCAAAAAGAATTCAACGTTACAAGCACATGCCCTTATTTAGTGTGCGCAAACCAAGAACATATTTCCTTTAAATATTTCAATTTTATTCAATGTAGATGCTTTAATTTACACAAATAACGTAGAATAATTTACTAATGATATTCTAATGTGATTTTAAATATTTATTTATTAAAAATATAAATATTGTATGTGTAGAAAAAGAATCACTATAAATTAATGAAATTTCATTTGATTTGATGAAAGAAGAAATAACAGAAGTAACTTTTTGAAAAAAATTATATAATTTTCTTTGTAATCTAAGTATTACAATATTTATTTAATATATTACTATTACGTTTATTTGTTTTATATATTATCGTAAGTTTTACAATTATATTTTATTTATTTATTTGATATATTATTGTTACGCTTGTATTGTTGTATTGATGTTATATTTATTTATTTAATATGTAATTATTTAATGATGAGCTTTGAAAAATGCGAATGTGAATTTTTGATAATAAAAACATTATTTTGTATTTATTCAATGTTTATTTTAATCTATTTATTATTAATGTATGTATGAGTGCACGCACCCGTGCGTATGCAAGTGTATGCATTTAAATTTATCTATATATTTGAAATTATATTTCTAAATTGGATACAAATATACATTTTAATCAACGAAAATGTGAATTCCAGGAAATATAATTGAATTGATATCAAATCCTATAAAACAGTATAAGTATACTAAAAAAATGCCAATATTACATTAGCTGCAGACTTTGTTTTACTTTTTTATAAAGACAGTTCATTTTATTCTTTTGGAAAAGAAAATTATTTTTAAATACATTATTCTCAATAAAATATTTTTCATTAAAAATCATATCTACCGCTTATTTTTAAAAATACATACTCATAAGTCATTAAATTTAAATTATAAAATTTCAATCACTTTGGTAAAACGTTAGGATTAAAATTATTCGCGTGAATTTAAACATTATAGATATGAAAAGAAATTAAATAACTTAAGATATTTCTATTATTGACTTCTAAACGTATTGAGATTTTCAGAACTCTAGATATTCATGAATTGAAAATGTCAATTATAAGTTTTTAATGCTCATCGATTTACAAGTTTTCAATAATTATTTATACAAATGGATAAAATTTTTATGTGTATTAAATATTTAGTTGATAAAAGAAATGAATATTTTATTAAACATAGAGAAAATAAATGATTTATTCATAATGATTACTGAAATAATAAAAACCACGGTAATGAAATTGTCGAAAATAATTATTCCAAAAAAAAAAAGAAAAAAAAATTTTTCTTTTTAAATGAGAATCTCATTTTTATGAAATTAATGTTTACTACAATATTAAATTATTTGTATTTATTTACGAGTAATACGTATACAATAATTGAAAAAAAAAAAATATATATATATATATATATATATATATAATACAATAGATAATAATAAAATTCTAAATTTTGAGCTAATTTAGCATATTATTTAATTTATTATTCATCCAAGAAATGTTTCACTGTGAAAAAATGTCCGCGTACCCTCATAATTATAAGTAATGTACAATATCCGTAGTTTAACTGACTGATTCTCTTGTTTTCATTATATGTAAATTATGGGAAACAATTAATTCTCAAATCATAATTTCAATACTCAATTAATAATAGCATTAAAAATTTAATAACATTTTTCTTAATTTAATATATATATATATATATATATATATATATATATATTTATTTATTTATATGTATACATAATTTATTTATAAATAAATACTTATAAACATTAATATAATAAATAATGTAAGTATAAATGCTCATGTATTTATAATATTTAATAGATAAATATTTTCTGAATTAATATTATACGAGAAAATAAAATTATAAATCTTCAATGAAATATCATTAAATATACCAATTATATGATTTAAATAATATGTAACGACTACATGTTTGTTATAATAGTTGACCTTAAAATTTAGTGAAAGCTATTATTTTAATAGAGCTAGTTTTTCATAAAACTAGCTGCATAACTTCTGAAAATTACGTGAAACAAATTATTTCAATTAAAAAAATAATTAACCGTACGTGATAGTTAATCGCCAATTAAATGTTCGAAGCATAAGTGTATAATATATCGGAATATATCGAAGAAAATTATGCTTGCCGTAACGCAAGAAATTCTTGTCAATTATTGGACCGTATGCCTTGAACATATAAATATTCTCATTTAAAACGCAATTTTTCACGGTTTGTATGAAACGAAATGACTCTCGCCGGTTATTCGAGGTGAGCTTTAGAATGATAAATAGGGATTAATCCGAGCCGCTGTAATAATTGCATACTTTTAGAAATTATTTCATTCTTTATCGATACCTAATCGTAAAAATACAACCAATTTTAAAAATAATCTTCTAAGTTCAATTTGAATGTTGAGAAAAATGTAAGCGTGTATAAGCGAGAATAACTTTTTATATTAAGCAAGTTTTTTTTTATAATTATTCATTAGCAGCATATTAATCGTCATGCGCTTAAAATAAGTAATCTACTTTTAATATATGAAAATAAGAAAATAATATTGTTTCAGATTCTTAATATTATTATAATGTTACCTTGTCAACACATGTTTTCGTAAATGGCATTAAATTACTTCGATTTAAATACTCATTAACTTTGCACGATCTCACTTTTAAAAGTCGAATAATCAACTTTAATAATTTTAAAAAATATTTAAAATATCGATATATTCTTGTTTAAATTTAAAAAATAAAAAATAAAAAAAAAAGCTACTAATTTGTTAAGCATTTTAGTATTTTAAATGTACTTTTCAGCAAGCATAGATTTTACATTTAATTGCAAAGTAAAAAAAAGGTAAATTAAATTTATTATTTAGCAAATTTAAAGCATAGGCTATTTTAATTTTTGTAAATGAATTTCTTACATGAAAGTACCTAAAATTCTGTAAATGACTGAATTAATATACACTTAATGCTTTTTAATATTAACGAAGGTTTTACAAGATACTTAATAGAATGTGAAATTGAGAGACTAATTATTTAATTCCTTTACGTTCGACTGATGAAAATATTAAAAAATATTTCTTAAATTCTTGATTATTAATAATATCAATGAGTTAAAAAAGATCTGTCTGTCTTCGATTTATATGTTTAAAAAGACAATATTGTCGACATCAAACATTAATTAAATTGAAGCTTATAAAGATTGCAAGAATTTTTAGTCAAAGCTCATTATTAGTAATGAAACTTTTACCTTTATCTCATATGGATATTTTAATCAATGAAAAACACAGAAGTTATTAAAATTCTGATAATGCTTATATATATATATTAAATATTTTGTTAATATATATAGTTAAAGTTAAATTTATTTTTTCCTTCATTTTTAAATCGAGTATATAAATCTTTACGACTTGAAATGCTAAGAAAAAACGTTTTAATTGGTATAATTGAAAATTTACTTAACCATTATAGAGTATAGAAAACTTTGTTATAAGTAACAATTATGCAACTATTATACGAGAAAGTTCGTTCGTTAAATTGTTCGATATATTACTTGAATCTCTTCGACTTTAATAAACATGTAGAAGATTTTATAAGGATCGATAATTTATAAATCTATAATTATTTATATCCCCTTTATTATTTAACGTAATTTGTGTCAATTATCTCTTTTTTTCACTTTTTCGTGCATTTTTCTTTTTTACAATAGCACAAATTATTCTGAAGTTTCTATAACGAAAAAATATTTTTAAATCCATTTATTTTTACGACATATTTGTAAAATGAAATGGCTAAACTTCGGTATTGTCAAGCGCAATTTCGGCACCTTCGGTGTCAACTTGAAAGTGGCAAAATGGAGTTATGATAATGACTAAAACAGCCAAGTGCGAAGAATTCGGCCATAACACATAGGGAACTAAAGACGTAACTCGTGAAGCGACTCGATAGATCACAAAAGGTCAAAATTCCACCCTAGTCTTCGAGTCCAGCGAGGAGTTGTGAAACCACAAGGTTCGCAATTTATATGATCTTGCATCGTAACAATGGCAAATAGTATATTGCGGATGCGGATACTTGGGCTCGATTATTACGTCTGCGTCAGTATTAAAAACGCCAGTGACATGGAAGAATTGAGGTAGACTAAACTAAGAAGCTCGAACGATATAATAAGAGAGTTCAAAGAAATGGACATCTAACGTATGAATTTGGACATTTGCTAAAATTTTTGCGCTACCACTTCCAATATAATTTATCTTGGCGTTTATTGCGAAAAGATGGAAAGAGAAATGAACGCCAAGGTCATTCTCTTGTGCTCTAAGTGCAACGGACGGCACAACATTCCGTGCACAGTATTTAGTCGATTATTCGACTTGGGAAATTTACAAGGTCACCCATCATAATTGACGCGAATATTAATGTTTGCACTTAATAAGAATATCTAAGCATTGTGAAACGTGTAAATCACTCCTCCCGAAATGTATTAACGCGAATCTCGACACGAATTTGGCTATCAGCAAGTCGACAATACAAATAAATGCCAACGCCAAGTAATAATTGGATCCGTTTGAAAAATCGAAAGCAAAGTTAGAGCTTTGCATACTATCAGGCAGTCCCGTATATAAACTGGACAGAATGTGGATAAGCCTCGATCACGACTTCGTGTCGTACTTCGCTGACTTGTGGAATAGTAATGTTCCTGAAAGTAATATAATTAATATGCGCAATTGAATTGGAATCGTTAAAAGCGCTAGTCATAATACTATTGGAGAAAAAATTTATCTGCCGCGAAGAATCGCGAGCTCTTCTTTAGCGGTTCATCTACCGGAAGTAGGACGTTCGTTGACGTAGAATCGACGAGACGCTGCGAATACCCACGTACGGCAAATATTCGCTTACACACGACACGCACGCTCGATGCTACGGAGAACGTTTCACCGAAAACAGCAATTGTTCACTTATCTTTTTAACGTGACCGTATCGTCCTTAACGACATGTCCACTTTACGTTGTCTCACGTCACGATAAATACATATACTTGCAACGACGAACTTAGGAATGAAAATAAGTTTACGCGCTTACACGAATCAATCGACAATTTCCAATAAATAATGTTGACGTTTAGTGGCAAGCTTTTTTTATTATTAGGAATCGCAAGCTTGGATAAACATCTCCAAAGCATTTTTAAGAGCTTTTAATATTTATAATTTATAATTAGAATTCGCGTTCCATTTAAGTGTAAGATAAAATGGACTTTTATTATTAGAATAATGTTTATTAATAATTTAACCAAATTTTATTAATATAAACGAACATGTTCTACGATTCTTGATTTATGTATGCACATTTATCAAAATAAACAAGTGAATAGGATAATAAAATTTACCTTTCTTTATGTGCATTATTTTATTTTTATTTTTTTTTTTTTTTTTTTTTTTTTTTTTTTTTTTTATAAATATTATTAATTCGTCTGGCTAATTTAGCATTAAAAATTTGATACTTAATAATGCGATTAAGAATTTTAATTATTCGTTGAAGAACATAAAGATCCTATAATTAAATAAAAATACTCTGATAATTTGTACATAAGGAGTAATTATTAATTCCTTTAATTTCATCAAAAGACAAATTATTTCAAAATTATCAAAACTTATTCTCGAGATAATATAATTCGGAAATATTGAATTAATATTTACTTTCGAAAGTTTACACAAACCTCGTATAATTTTGTAAATTTTATGAATTATTTGCTATTTCATTCGTACATATCCAACATTTAATAACAAATGATATTCGAATCAGTGTGAGTTTAAATTAAATAATAATGAAAGCAAATTCTTGAGTGTTTAAATTAAGTATTCGAGTAAATCTTACGATCCACTCTCTCTCTCTCTCTCTCTCTCTCTCTCTCTCTCTCTCTCTCTCTCTCTCTCTGTCTTTTGTCTCTTCTTGATCGTCTCAGCCTGTCTTTAACAATCTTACATACAAGTCATAATTTATATTAATCATTGGGACTATTAATTTACTATTAGCCAACCGATTTGTTAAAAAGTTCCATTTTTACACAAACGAATATTTTACACAATTTAAACGAATTAATCAATAATATTTATATCAATGATATATTATAGTCGTTGCGTGTTGTTTTTGTTTTTTATCTATCTTTTGACATTTACTTCTTATTTGTTGTACGAAAACATTTATTTACAATCTCCAATATAGTACATTTAATTTGAAGAAAATTGTGTGGTTATTTCTAATGCTGTATATTTTTGTTTTGAATTAAAAATTAATTGACTAATACTTTCAATAAATTTTATTACATCGATACCATCATAATCGAATTATTATATAAATACGTACAAATTGCATTAAATTGCAGTAATCTTTCAAAAATAGAGACCTCAAATTCTATATATCAGGATGAATTATGCTCAGTATAACCAACTTAAACACTTAAAACCAACAATATTAATTTGAACTTTGACCGAATGTTAGCAAACAATGATATTTATAAGAAAAATAGTTGATTAAAAATCAGAAAGGAATATAAATAAAATGTTGAATTGATGAATTAATTAAAGCTAAGCTTGTGCAACGAGGCAATTTGTCGTAAACGGTTAAACACGAAATTTTCGGATCTCCAAGCTAAAGCCACAAACACAATAGTACAATATAAATATAAATATTTTTGTCAATTGCAAATAATTCTCATACGATTATATTAAAAAAAAAAAAAAAAAAAAAAAAAAAAAAATTAAAAAAAAAGAAAGAGGATAGTATTTTTAATCATTTCAATTCCCAAATATAGCCGTTTAATAATTCTGGTGTCGAAGTTTAAATTAAAAATGTGGCCCCACTTCGAGGTTCGAGGTTCGACTTTCGAGCTTCGAGGACTAACACTGTAGTTTGTACTTTACCGTTTAACTATAAGATAATTTCATTTTATGTCTCGTGCATCGAATTTCTCGTATCTTGTTGCCAACAAAGTTCCAAAATCGTTTCCAGTGAAATGCAGCTCCGAGAACATTTTCGAGGGACTTTCCCTTGAAAATTTATTTCGCCCAAATCGATAATTAATAGGAGAATTTCAGGACGAGGAAGACTTTTGTGAAGTTGTCGGTCAGTTGCCGACTCATAGTTTTCAAAATAAAATTGTATTCATGTTAATGACATAGCACACGATTCGAGTGTAGCGTCCCTTCAACTACTGTGCGTATAGGTTGTAGCCGGTAAAAGGCAAGGGAACTTCATGTAAAACAGAAAATTGATGAAAGAAACGATTGTGCAAAGGATAATTAATTTCTGATCTCATCGCCAATAATCATATTCAATATGGCATTACCAGCTAATTATAAACAAGTTGCAATTAGTACCTCGAGTATCGTTACACCAACTAATCGTAAGTTCCTTATTCTTTGATAACTTGCCTACAAAATATTCTTTTAAATTCTCAAATATTTTTCATTTTTAGTCTATGAAATTTCTTTTATTTGTATTTTTTTGTAATTGCAATATAACTTATTACAGAACGAATACGTGCTTCCGGTGGTAGTGGCGGTAGTTCTGGTTCTAGTGTAAGTGTAATTGATTAAAATAATATTGTTGATTTACCATTTTATTTGATCAATCGATTGGCACACAATTTATTTTATTAAAAAATTTTCAGAAAGATGCTCAAAGTCCATTTATACAAACTCCTCATGGTCATCCGGGATTCACACCACAAAAAGTTGGTAAAAATGCACCTGTAAGTAATAAATCAAATTGAGGTCGTATTTGATTGAACGTATGTTGGACTTATCGAATTTTACGAAATCTTTTAGGCTGATTCTCGATTACCAAAGCCACCGAAGCCTCCTGAGAAACCTCTAATGCCTTATATGAGATATAGTAGAAAAGTATGGGATCAAGTGAAAGCGCAGAATCTTGAATTGAAACTTTGGGAGATTGGAAAAATTATTGGACAAATGTGGAGAGATCTTCCAGAAGAAGAAAAAACTGAATTTGTTGAAGAATACGAAGCTGAAAAGGCAAGTTTAGACTTTTAGACATCAATAACAAGATCTCATATGCATTTAACATAAAAACATACACTACGTGCAAATTCAATTATTGATGTATATCAATATATTTTTAATTATAATTCATATCGCCTTTACAGATTGAATATGACAAGAGTTTAAAAACTTATCATAACTCTCCAGCATATTTGGCTTATATTGCAGCCAAAAATAGAGGTAAATCTGGTATGTTAAAGCATAAAATATTAGTATTTATATTTATTCATTCTAATTTTTATCTACGTTTTATGTATTTTTATGCATGAAACTTTATGTGTGTGCGTGTAGTTTCCTTTTGTTAAAATTAATTTTAATATTAATATAATTGTATTTGTCTCGCATATTTAAGCACAAGAGCCGTACAATACTCTTTTTGTTTACAAGTTTTGTTTTCACGTTTGCTTTAAATTTTGTTGAAAATCTAAATTCATACTGGATATACAATGTCTTATATCTAATGCAGCGTTGTGTGCAGCACAACAAAATACAGATGAGCGAGAAAGCCACGAAAGATCTTCTGGAAGTAGTAAAAATCAAAGTGCCCAAGATCGACGAATTGACATATTACCAGCAGAAGACGAAGAAGGTATATTTCATTTAGCTTCTACATTTGAAGAAGTAGTAAAAAAGTTATTCTATCTTATTATTAAAATATTTTACTTATTTTTAGATCAAGACGATGGATATTCTGTAAAGCATGTTGCATACTCGCGATATATACGTAATCATCGTTTAATTAATGAAATTTTTAGCGACACCGTGGTTCCAGATGTACGTTCCGTGGTTACAACCCAAAGAATGCAAATATTGCGTAGACAAGTACAATCGCTTACTATGCATCAAGTAAGATTAATTAAATTCTATAATTACACCATACTTGAGTAAGTGTCATTACAATTTTTATATTTATTATTTAGAAAAAATTAGAAGCTGAATTGCAACAAATTGAAGAGAAATTTGAGGCAAAGAAACGGAAGTTTATTGAAACAAGTGAAATATTTCAAGAAGAATTAAAAAAAGTAAGTTAAACGCGATTTTCAATTTTTTTTTTTTTTTTTTTTTTTTTTTTTTTTTTTTTTTGATGATTTTGGATTTATAAATAATTTTCCTTCAAAGCATTGTAAACCAGCAGTTGATGAAGAAACTTTTAATAAAATGGTTGAAAGACAATATGAACTACTAAGAAGAGATAGGATAAAAGGTTCTGAAGAAAACCGTGTAGATGGTCCAACATCTACTGATTCAACGCCAAATTCAACACCTACACCTACCCCTGCACCCATGAACGAAGAAACATCCTCAGAAGTAAAGATATTTTGTATTTTAATATTAGTAATTTCTAATAAAATTATTACTAAATATAATTTATATACTCATAGGCAACAGACAATGATTCAACTGATAAAAAAATGGAAATTGATAAACAGTGTGAAACAAAGAAAGGAACTCCTTCACCTCCTTACATTGAGGCTAAAATAGATAATCCCATTCAAAATCATTCTAGCCCGAGTGGAAATATTCCAGGATCAAATTATCCACCAATTAGTAACCAGCATCAAATTCAAGGACCTCTGCAAGGCCCTCACATGCCTTGCCATCAACCAATCGTGCAAGGTATCAAAAGCTTTAACAATTATTTGTTTGCAAATCAAACAGTATAAATTAATTTTAATTAGGACAAACTCCACAACCAGTGTCTACACAGCAGCAACAGATTAGTCCACAATCACAAATTCCATCTCATCAGCCGCAGTTGCCCCCAGGCATGTAATATTTAAAATTATAATTAGATCATAATGTCCAAATTAATTATAGTTTCGAAAACATATTCAATAATTCGATTATTTTAAAATAAATAACAGGACCCATAAATCAACAACAAATACCACCACAGCAACATATGCCTTCCCCACAACAAATACCTGCACAACCAATGCTGTCACAACAGCAACAGATTACATCTCAACAAACTTCCAGTCAGCAACAGATACTTTCACAACCACCGCCGCCGCCACCACCACCACCGCCACCACCAAGATCTCAACAGTCAATACAATCTGGTGAGTAAAACTTATACTTCATTCATTTTAAGTATATTTTCAATTTATAATTAAACTATGATGTCAAATATTTGTGACTATTTAAAATTCTTATATATACTGATACAGGCCCGCCTAGTCAACAAGTACCTATTCAACAGCAAATGTCTATTGACCAACAACAAATGCATCTCCCTCCACAACAAATACAAGGTCTTAAAAAATGCTTTTTATATTCCTTCATTTACACGTAGAGCTTCAATTTTATATAATTTTATACATTTACCTTAAAATGTTTTCTATAATAATCTTAATTTACTTACATACTTTTCTTCAATTAAATAATTTCTTTTAATCAATAACCATTTCAAAATCATTTCATAAACTGTATTTTACATTCAATATCTTATGAAACTTTGTAATCTATATTATATTTCTAAAGTTTCGTTTAAAAAACTTATATTACAATACAATTAAAACAAAAAATAATAAAACCCAAATTCAAATATTTAAAAAAATTTTAATATATAAAAATAATAGATACCTAAGTTGTTAACATATTTAAACTTTCATCTTGATTATACATTATACTTTAACATATAATGATCATTTATTGTGGTTCATAATTTTGACAAGAATCGGAAAAACAAATTTTAATTTAAACTACATTGTACACTTTATATGTTTATGTAGATAATATTATTAATAACCGTAAGCATATATTATATATTAATAGAGTCACCAAGTGCACAGCAACCAATACCTGCTCAACATCAATCACTTACTACAGGTAAAATGCGATTATTTATTAATTTTATTCAGTAATAAATTACTCCAAAAAATTAATAAATAATTTCTGACTATATAAGGCCCACCTAATCAGCAGTCTGTACCATCGCAACAGTCACAACAAATTTCGCCTCAACCATCACAAATGATTTCACCTCAGCAGCAGCAAATGTCTTCGCAATCGCCAATCCCTCCTCAACAACAAATGCCTCCACAGCAACAAATACTTCCACAACAACAATTGCCACAACAGCAACAGATCCCACAACAGCAGCAGATGCCGCAACAGCAGCAGATGCCACAACAGCAACAAATACCACAGCAACAACAAATACCACAACAGCAGCCAATACCACAACAGCAACAAATATCACAACAGCAGCAAATACCACAACAACAGCCAATGCCTCAACAACAACCAATATCTCAACAGCAGCCAATACCTCAACAGCAGCAAATACCTCAACAGCAGCAAATACCCCAACAGCAACAGCAAATACCACAACAGCAACAGCAAATACCACAACAGCAACAACAAATATCACAACAGCAACAGCAAATACCACAACAACAACAAATGCCACAGCAGCAACAGCAAATACCACAACAGCAACAGCAAATATCACAACAGCAACAAATACCCCAACAGCAACAGCAAATACCACAACAACAACAAATACCACAACAGCAACAGCTGCCACAGCAGCAACAGATGCCACAACAACAGCAAATTCCGCAACAACAACAAATATCACAACAGCAACAAATGTCACAACCAATATCCCATCAACCGTCGCAGCAACAGATGCCAGGTTTACAGAATTTTATTAATAAGTATCACTTAATAGAGAAATATAAACTGATAACAAAATTTACATGATTTTTATTTCTTAGGACCTCCTTATCAGCAGCATCAATTACCGCAACATCAGTCTCAAATACAACAAGGTATTGAAAAAATGTCAAGATATTAAAAATATAAGAAAGTACAATTGAATGTAATTAAAATTGACTTGTATTGGAACGTAATTTAGAATTAGTACTTATAAGATTTTTTCATATGAAAGTTGTCGAGTTAAAAAATTTGATCACCAATATACAGTTGGGCCCAATCAGCAGCAACCAATGGCACCTCAACAACCACCATTGCAAACACCACCACAACAACAACAACAACAGCTATCTGCTCAACAACAACCATCACAATTATCATCTCAACAGCAACAACAAAATCAACCTCAACCACAGCAACAACAACAGCAAATGCAATCTCAACCTCAAATGCCTTCCGGTAAAAATATAAATGGACTTTATATTACATTGACTATTTTTATTTTTTAAAACAATCAAATATCAAATCATCGCTCCAATATATATTTGAAATTATTAATTGAATTTCAATTTAATTATTTTTACACGTATTTTAGGACCTACTCAACAACCAATACCATCACAAGGTCAACAACAAATTCCTACAGGTATATCGATATATGTATCCATCCATCCATCTATCTATCTATACATGCATACAACTATACATACAAATATAATATACATGCATAATGAACATATTGAAATTTATAATATTAATATAACTTTTAGGTCCTTCTAGTCAACAGCAATCTATACCACCACAGCAGCAGCAACAACAACAGCAGCAACAACAACAACAGCAACAACAACAACCCCCACCACCACCGCCGCCGCCGCCGCCACCGTCACAACAACAGCAACAGCAACAGCAACAAATGCCTCCTCAACAGCAGCAAATGCCACCTCAACAGCAACAAATACCACCTCAGCAGCAGCAAATGCCTCCCCAGCAACAGCAAATGCCACCTCAACAGCAACAGCAAATGCCACCTCAACAGCAACAAATACCACCTCAGCAACAGCAACAAATGCCACCTCAACAGCAACAAATGCCTCCTCAACAACAACAGATGCCTCCTCAACAGCAACAAATGCCTCCTCAACAGCAACAAATGCCTCCTCAACAAATGTCTACTCAGTCCCAAATTTCAGCAGGTAATGCAATTGAGTCGTAGTTAATCAGTTAATAATCTCTTTCACATGTTTTTTATTCATCATGACGAATTAACTACAAAAAATTTTTTATACCACAATTCTTTTCCAATTAAAAATAAATCTGAAGTAAATATTTTAAAATTTTCATTAAATCGAATAATATGCAATACAGTGCAATGTGCTTTATCAATTAGCGTATTAATATCGTAACTATAAATTAGAAGAATTAATTTTTCAACTTATTGCTTCTCTTTTGTAGGCTCGCCGTATCCTCAACAAGTAGCGCCGCATCAACAAACAATTTCGGCGGGTGAGTAACTCATTTAAAATCTGATGAGAAAAAGCCGCTAAATTATTCACAAAATCTAAAATCCGAAATCTTTGTCAATAGGACCTCCTCAGCCAGGCAAAATGACTCAACCACCGTCGACGACGGCCGCGGCGGCGGTTGCGGCTGCAGCGGTGGCCGCCGCAAATGCCGCTGCGAACCAACTGCCACCGCACCCGCCACCCTCGGGCATGATTCCAGGACACCCTATAGGCCCGCACCAAGGGCCCCAAAACCCCTCGGTTCACCCTCCTCCCGGCGCACCGCCCAACCCCCATGCACCACCGCCGGGCATGATCCCATCAAACCCGAACTACCCCCAGCAGTATCAGCCCCCAGGTGGACCACCGCAGGCCCAGACAGTACCACTGGCGCCCCGACCACCTCATCCCTCATACGGCTATCCTCAACAACAGTATCACCAACCCTATGCCCAGTACCCCCATCCCTATTACCACCAACCTTACTCGCAATACCCTCCGCACGCGATGGCCCGGACGCACCAACACGGGGGTCACAGCCCCCACGGGCCCCACAGTCCCCACTACCATCCACAAAGTCCTCACGGCGACGTGGGCCCGGGCAGCAATCCTTCCCTTAACCCTGGTACCGTCGCTCCCAATGCCGAACAGCCAGGAGGCGCCTCTTCGTATCCACCTGCGTCGGTTCACGGGGAGAGTGAACGAACGGGGGCAGCCGAGAACCAGGACGTACAGACCGACGGAAAATCAAACTCTGCCTGAGCCGATTCGTCCTTACCACTTTTTATACAAGTTTATGCGTGGACGCTAATTAATAAGCTAATCCAATTATTGAATCGTCCATTATCATTTTCTTCTTATAATTAATTTTATTTTCTCTTTTTTGTATTTTTTATTTTCTTTTTTTAATATATATATATATATATATATATTTAATTAGATGTAATTGTAAAGTAAAACAAGTTTATAAAAGATTCAGCGAGAATGATCAAGAATAATTGAGATATGTATTGTTTTATGCAATTATTTGGTGCATTCATTTGTGGCGGAAAATAAGCGTTTACCGGATAATTTTTAATTCTTATGTAATTGAATAAATTTGATAAACATAAATCATTGGAAAACTTGTAATTTTTAAGTATATTTGACGAAATTTCAGTTCTTAAATTTTTATTGACATGTAAAATATGAATGAGGCAATTTATCGATTGCTATCGCAAAGTTTCAATAAATAAACATCAAGTTTTAAAAGTAAAAATTTCATTTATTTATAATTTTAGTGGCATAAGAGTGTATTACTTCACAGGTTTCATTTGCCATAGCCCATCGTTAAGATAATGACAATTCTCTATACCAATACCTTTATTAACGTGTGCTCTGTAAAGTAATTGAATTTATTTTAAAATAATTATTACTTACATATTAAAATTTTTTATATAATTGATCCATAGTGACGCTTACATTTCATCTGTCGATAAAGTTGTTATTCCAACAGCTAATGCATGGTGTTTTCCTTCTGCCATCACAGCCTATTTTTTCGTTAAATTAGTCTTTATAAGGAACTATTAGTCACAAAAGTGTTAGAATTTAAAAATTTATAAAAGTTATGCTACTTTTGCATGGTGTTTTTTCATAAAAAAAAAAAAAACTGTATATTTATATTTTTTTGTTTTACAAATAAATCATTTTATTCATAATATAAAATGAAATGTATGCAAAATCATTTTTGTTCACCTGAATAATTCATTTACGTACTACATATACAAGCATACGAAAATATGTTTGTACATTCTTTCCATTAAAATATATAAAATAATTAATCGAAATACTTATAGAATACTTTTTAAGAAATTATAATTTAAGCTTATAATAAAGCAGTAGGTATTAATTTTACTTTATTATCCTGAACAAGGATCAAATCGAATAAATATTTTATAATAAAAATCATAAATATACCTGAAACCCATAAAATAATGGAGAATAGAATGGAAAATAAAATTTTTTCTTTTGTAAATATACTTTGTTTTTATCAAAATCTACTAAATTTATCCATGCTAGTAAAATTAATACTTCATATCATTAAATAGAAATAAATTCGAAATGAATGCAAAGGATACGACAATTGCTCCTTTTTCAACAGAAGTCATACGGGCACCTTTCGATGTTAATCCAGGACACATTATATTTGCACCACTAAGAACGAATTTGATTGCTCCTTTATCCACTTGTTGAAGAGGTAGCATAAATGGATCTAGAAAATAAAAAGGAAAAATTTAAATTATTACATACTAAAATTGATAGAATATTCTAGTGACTGTCTCATACTAATCAATTAAATTAAAATAGTGTTATAAAATGTGTTGATCAACAAAATAAAACCAGAAGTTTTCAATAATATTCTCTACATTTATGAAGAAGTTTCAACGTTGGCATCCATAGACTTTCTCGTTGTCGGAAAAAGAGTAAATCTCCAGCACTGTTCACCAAAATTTCAATATGATCATGACTACGATAAAATCAAATACAAATACATGAAAGGATAGTGTAAAATTAATTAACTTAAAATTAAAAATTCAATTATTATACCAGCTTACCATTTAACAAATCTAAACGAATCCTTTTTAGGAATTATTTGATCTATATATTTGTCTAACAATGGATACAGCTCTAAAAGTTTGGAACGAATACCTTTTTGTACAGAGGATTTTAATTGTTGTACACTAGATACACTATCTTTTTCATCGAACCTACAATATTTATAATAACAAAATTACACATATAAATGAATTAATGATAGATTTTGTATTATAGAAACAAATTTAAAGATTTATTTATAAGTGTAAGTAAATTACTTTTTAAACATTGCGAAAAATATGATACTTTACTATAATAACATGCAATAATCTTAAAATTATGGACTTTAGAAATTTGTGAAGAAATCTTAGTAACGTTTGACTAGTTTAACAATAAGTTAATTAGAATTTAAATAGGTTATGTTATCCATTTTAGTATGGAATCAAAAAGCCCCCTGCGATCCCCAGCATTTCTGACGGTCACAACGATTGTTTGAAAACTGTGAATAACGAGTGGTGAAAATTTTTGTGTATAAATGCCATGCTTTCTCAATTCAATAATGAGAGCTAGGCATTTTATCCAATCACAATAAGATAATTAAATTTTGTAGTTTAATGAAATGTGGCTTAGCATTAGTTTCCAAATTTAAAGCATCGATCAATGCTTAATGATCAATCATCAATGACAGTCAACATTAACCCGCGTGAATTTGACGGATTTTGAATAACTATTCAATTCATATCCCCTTTCATATCTAAATTTCAAATATCGACACTTTCAGAGTTTCATTGGAAATTAATTCATTATCAATGATACATTTCGTTTAAAAGATCGAAATTTGTTTAATTTACAGTCGCATCTCTCAATAATGAAAATAGCTAGCTTAAAAGACATCATCCTTTAGAGATTAACAAATTGTGGTGTACGCGTTAAACGGGTAATGTATTCAGACAAAAGACAAATTGTGGAACTGCCTGTACGCTTATAAATATATCTGCATTAGATTGAATCTACGTATTGACCAATCAGAATCTTTTACAAAAGACTCGTTGGTTGCAAGCACGCGTGCACAAATGTGTGAGTACGCGACTGCTAATGCAAGAGAGATTATGCGTGCGTGCGGATATACATTTATCGCGCGCCTGCCTTTTTAAAAACTTTCCCTTTTGCCAGTTGAAGCAGCCACAGTGCATTCGGTTGTGTGCATGCACACATGCATATAGTATATATATATAGTATATATACAGCGAGTGTGTAATATATATATATATATATATATATATATATAGAGAGAGAGAGAGAGAGAGAGAGAGAGAGAGAGAGAGAGAGAGAGCGTGGGCTGAAGGGCGAGAGAGTAGGAAGGAGTACATATAGGAGACATATATCGTAAAATACATACACGCGTGTATGCAGAATCACATCGTGATACGCGTGGATACTACAAAGGTGAGATCTAATATAATATTGTTAAAGGTGAGGTCGTATATGCATAATCCCCATACTCGAATAAAGGAATAAAGCGATAGAAGGTATTCGTAGTTGTCCTTACAGTTGCTGCTTTAACTTTCTACGCTGATCCGCGTGACTAGTGGCATTTTACATATCGCTAGCGCCTCTGTTGCAAAATCGTAATCATTAGAGTAGCTCGTGTCTTTCTTAAATCGGATTACCCTCAAATATCGTGTAACCTGCATTGAATGACAAAAAGTTCGAGGTTTTAACTTTTGATATCGTCGTATATCTACGACGTCGCTGTCTCCTTCTCGTCTTGGCCGTCGTCGAAAGACTCGATACAGATAAAGACAGAGCGAAAGCTAAGGAAGAAGACAAAGCAGCAGCAGCAGCAGCAGCAGCAGCAGCAGCAGCAGCAGCAGCAGCAGAGGGGAGAGAGCGAGCCATTTTGTGCATTGTGAATAAAGCAGCTGTGAGTATAGTCGATATATAGTGCGCGACAAACAATTCCAAGATAATAAATTTTAACGTCTGAATTAATTTCTGCATATGGTCTGCTGAAGGATGGCTGACTCCTCGATTGGCTAACGGCTAAGGCTATCAATCATGCCATGAACTTGTCCCAGTGCAGTTGCAGCCGTCGTTGCTGATTTACGGATAGGTAATAGAACGAACGCAGCATCCGGAAGAATTTCAAGAATATGCACAGCTGAGATTGAGGAACGTACGTGAGAACGAGCGAGGCAGTCGATTATTTTATTTTTCCGAAAAGCGGGCGTTTGGCTGTTTTTCTTCGATTTTGCCGATCGTAGCCAGAACAAGGAAGCGTAAACCGTAATAAAGGCTGTCCCTACCTAATTGAAGACTCTGAGATACTTGTTTTTTTATTAGATTTTGGCTCCGTCATCGTTTTGCTGTGAGTATTACTTTTGGAAGTGCCTAAAAATAGTTTGCATTGGTAGAAATCCAATAGCCTAAAAGAGCTATTCGCTCGTTTTCTATTCTTTTTCATTCTTGCTCTTTTTCTTTTTCTTTTTTTATTTTTTTATTTTTTTATTACTAGCTATTGCTTTTGCTTCCGATCCAAACGCTTCTCTTATTCGTTTGTTATTCATTTATTGTTAATCCACCTCTCTCCGTAAGTTTTATTATGCAAAAAAATTATTTTTTATTGTTTCTTAGTCAATTGCAATTCCTTAATTTACTCCTCCCGAGTTTGTTTAATTTGGATGACCTCGCTTCGATCGAAATTTATTTGATTACTGTCTGTACTTTAATGTTTAATATTTATTGTAACGTTTGAACATTTATCTAATATTGATTTTATTATGTTTTTTTTTTCTTCATTTATCACTATTGACCTTGTCATCTTCCCAAATCTTTAGTTATTTACTCATCGAATTGCAACAAAACAAAGGAAAAGAAATCTTTTGTTTAAGAATTTCAAACAAAGCCATTGCTTTTACACACAGTTACTTACTTATCTGTAATAATCTTATGTAATTATTTTGTAAAATAAAATATTTCATCACATTATTATTAAACTTGAGAATATTATTAATTTGTCGTTTTGCACTATGCAACTGTCTGATTAAATACAATTGCCTATTTAAAATGTTTATATTAGTTCCAAGACTAAAAATGAATGAATGAGCAAAGAATTAAGTAGCTCATCGAGATATAAATTATGAAAATGTATCAATGGCATTTAATGACTATGTACCATCCATCCATTTACTGCTTTTTACAAAATTATTGTAATATGAAAAAAAAAGAAGAAAAAAAACTGGAGGTACAAAACGCTTAAATTTTAATTCTCACTATTTTCACTTATATTTTCGAATAAATCTTTTGTTCTTCTAATCTTTCATAAAATCTTGAACTTGAACGCACCACCAGTTAATTTTCTTTATTTAGTTATTCTTCTTTATTCTATCCCTTCTCCTTGTCAATTATATCATATCAATGCGTGCTGAATCTTTCTTTTATTTTTAGTGAAATTATCGATTCTGCATGAGAAGCGAAAGATGAGCAACGAAATTGTCAATTTGTCTATGACAATGCCCTTTATACAAAGTTTACCATGGGTTAATGTATGGATGGAAAAAATGAATAAAGGCATTCTCTCCAATACTCATTTTAAAGAACATTGGCGTATATGGGTGCCAGAAATCTACAGACTAGAACCTACCGACAACTGCCTAGAATGGGTATTCAATGAAGAGCAGGCTCAGAAATTTTTATACGAACCATTAGAAGAATTTATTTGTAATGGAAATCCAAATGAAGTGTTAAAGCAATTGAGCCAACTGGACAGGCCTCCATCAATATGCGGAAGAGTCTATAAAACAGGAGAGCCTACATACAGCTGTAGGGAATGCGGTATGGATTCAACGTGTGTCTTATGCGTAGATTGCTTCAAACAATCGGCACATCGAAATCACAAATACAAAATGGGTATATCGATTGGCGGAGGCTGTTGTGACTGTGGTGACACCGAGGCGTGGAAGAAGGAGCCATTTTGTAAAATTCATCTAGCCGGCATCGAGCTAAAAGATTCTCCTAGGAATAAATTGCCCGAGGACATGACCGAGAGGGCAACGATAACATTTCAAGCCGTTCTGAAATATTGTTACGATCTATTATCAATGGAGCACAGTCCCAGTCTTCCAGCCGATCTTTGCGTAAAAAATTCCGAGTCCCTTTTAGCATCCAACGATACGTACTGTACCGTTCTCTTCAACGACGAAACTCACACGTTTGATCAAGTAATACTAACGCTGACTCGCATTATCAAGTGCTCGCAAAGAGACGCGATAGAGTACGTGACAAACATTGACAGGGAAGGTCGGGCCGTCGTAAAATGTTCCGGTTTTCAACACTGCAACGAACTTAAATTAGAAATTGAAAAATTCACGTCAAGGAATAGCAATCGCCCCTTAAAAGTACTCGTGGAGCACGCTCACGTGGTCGCTCATCAGATCTTCGCCATGAAGCTCTTGGGCTGGCTCCAGCAGTTTATCAGTCATTGCGAAGGCTTCAGAGTGATCTTCAGCAATGTAGCACTAAACGCCAAGCCGCCGGATATTCCCATCGTCAAAGGAATCCTATTGCGAGACTATCAGCTGTGGAAGGCGGCGAGAACCTGCTGGCATCGCCTCTTCATCTTAGGCATGCTGACAGAGTACGAGAGCAAGAAGGCATTGGCCATCGTGTTCACGAGTAACTACGGCACGGTATTGAAAGACTTCATTCGCGACGACCACGACCATTCCTATTCAATCGCCTCGATGTCGGTGCAGCTTTTCACAGTCCCGACACTGGCTCACCCCCCCACACTCCACTACGAACCTCTCCTTATTCTCTCCAAATACCTTCCTTCCCTCAAGGCGCTGCAACTCGGCCGGTAAGCTCGAATTCGAGAGGAACACTTCCAACAACTCGTTCAAGCGCGCCCAGTACATACTTTACGATCTGCGCTACCTCTTGAGTGCCAGGCCCGAGACCTGGACCGACGAGCTACGACGGGGCTTCCTGCAAGGAGTCTCGCTGCTGCTCCATCTCCTCGGTAGCATGCAGTGGATGGACGCGGTGGTGCGACAGGTCGGCCAGCACATGGAGTACGAGCAAGAATGGGAATCCGCCTTTAATCTCTACATCAAATTGTCGCCCGTAATAAGCTTGGCCCTCGACTGGTGTGGCTCGGATCGGATCGTGCTCATCAAGGCCTTACGGCTCGTACTCAAGAAGCTCGAGGAGCAGCCCAGCAAAGCCTCGACCAATTTCCGCGAGGTCGCCGACTACAGCGCCTCTTGCATACATTACGATGTATCCACGGAGCCGGTCTCCATTCACCTGCCGCTCTCGAGATTCCTCGCCGGCCTATTTCTCCATCTGGAAAAGTACAACCTGACGTTCCAGGGCACGGAGTTCCAGACGCTCAGCAAACCCTCCGTCGAGGAAATAATCGAGCCCGTGCTCAGGGCCCAAGCCATGATATCCCAGGTCCACGCGGGCATGTGGAGGCGAAACGGCTACTCGCTCATTCACCAGCTCTACTTTTATCACAACGTCAAGTGCCGTACGGAGATGCTCGACAAGGATATCCTCTTACTGCAGGCCGGCGCGGCTCTTATCGAAAGCAACGAATTCCTCATTCACATACTCAACAAGTTCAATCTGGTCAATTGGGCCCAGCAGAATTTCGAAACCGCTCTGCTCAAGACCTGGGAAGAAGACAGTATCCGGCAAACCATCAACCTTGTCGAGGAATTTTTAGGTACGTCAATCGACTCGCACATAATCTCCCTCCTCCAATTTCATTAATTCAACCACTACTCGCCAAATGGAAATACGGAAAATTTCTCAAGATTGTCTTATCTTTCTAATACCGAGCATAAAATAATAGCTAATGAGCAATATCTTGCACACGATAGTATCAAAGCACGAGCTCAACGCTCGTCGTATCTCGATATAAGGATTTTAATTTCAAGACTCGCCCAATGACTTTAAAGAGCAAAAAGCCCACCAACAATAAACAAATAAATAACTAACTAACTAACTAACTAATGACCGAGACGCGCGGAATAAAAACGTGCACGTTTAAATGAGTGCTGTGAAACTTTCGTTTAGCTAAAAATGAACTTTATCGATCATTATAAAGTGGCGATTAATCCGCTTGGAAATCTATAGAAAATCAATATAAAATTCGTATTGCAATTTTTAATGTAAAATAACTATCTTATCGCTACCACCCATACGTTATTCTCATCAAATCAAACGATGGGAAAGACAGTCATGCGTGCAAACATTCCATATTTTATTAACGTTCTGTTATTGCCATTGACATTTTCACGTTTTAGCGTAATGTTGTACTTTAAAAATGCAAAAAAAAAAACGCTTAGTATTTTTTCTCCTACGTCTAAGTTTCTTCCATATAATATTATAAAAAGCATTCAAATTTTGAGATATTTGCACAAAGGTTAAAACACCATGCAAATTTAGCTTAAAATAAAGTAGAGCTTTTATTTTACATTAATTAAAAAAAGTTTCATAATTGGAAAAGGTCATTTAATTGAATTGACCGTGACGGCGAAATTTGTAATAGAGATATCGAAATCGGACGGATAGCTCACGCATGTGCGTCCACGTATATATCCACGCGTTAATCATTGTCGCATATAAGCCTGTGCTCATGCGCATACACTTTGGTCGATCTAAACCAAAAATAAATAAACACAAATTTAACAAAAACAAAAACAACTAAAAAAAAACGTGTATTTTCATTTTGGAATTATCTCAACTTTCTGGCTGATACTCATTTATGCTAATATCACTAATGTTTCGTATTTCATTTCAATATGTAGAGTCTGACTTCGATATCTAAAACTCTGTAAAATGATACATTATCAGCATAAAGAAACGAAACTCTAGCCTCATGGTGGTTATCCATTGGTAAGAAAGATAACTTCGAACTCGCCTTAATACCAATAAAATAGCCATTTGTAAATCAAAATTGTCAATCCAAATGCATAAAACTTAACTAACTTCATTCGGCACTAAAGAGTGCCGAAATGATAAAAATTACGGAAAGTATGAAAATCTCCATTTCCAACGTCGTTATTTTGCTTGTGACATCATTGGAGATTCGATACAAACGCAAGACAAAGACAGACGCGTGCAGATGATGCGACAGTGAGTCACGGTGAACGAAAAAAAAATGGCTAAATGTCGATTGAGATCCACGGCTTTCTTTAATGCAATTAAAGGCACAATGAAAGCGCGCGTTTAGTCGATAACATTTATTATCTCGCGTAAATGAAATATTCGCGAAGCTAAGTAAATCGCTGCGGAGCCATGAAAAGTACATTTTTTGCGCGTGATGAAACATCGACGTGCTTTTATAAGTAATCATTTTTAAGCTGCGCTTGTGCTCGTGGAAACGTGCTTGCAATAAAGAAATTCGATTTAACAAAACGGCCGTGAGCTAATTTACGTTAAAACATTTGTCTAAAGAATTATTTTTCAGATTTAAACTAAGTACGCGAGAAACCATATCTCAATCATGTATATTAACCCTATAGCTAGAAATATTGAAAATTATAATATTTATATATATATATATATATATATATTTATATATTTATATGTATAGATACATATATATGTATATATATACATACACGGCCAAGTCGTTTTATATTTCATAATTTTATTGGTGTCTTAGCACTGGTGCTTGGCATACATTTTTTTTATAGACGCATTGTAGTCAATATGTCAAATGTATAGACTATCGTTATAGGTTTTTTTTTTTTTTTTTTAAATGTTAATTACGTCAATTTTGCAAACTAAAATTAAACATTGTCACGCTGCGCGCGTTACATCGAAGAAATTACAATAATTTTATGCTAATTTTATAATCAATTAAAATACAATTCAAGGATCTAATGCTTTTATAGCCCAATGATCTAATAACTAAAGTTAAATATATTTCCTTTTATAAAATAAAAACAAAGCCGTATGTTCTTGGAATATAATCTTAACTATGCGCACGATTGTTACATAAAAACGAATATTTTTATCGACTGAATTCAAAGAAAGCCAAATACTATCGTTGCTACATTTAAGTAGTAAGTTTAGATATAAAAGTTTAATGTTTACAGCAAACTCATTATCTAAGGAAACTTTCAAATTTATATATATGTTTACTTATATTCATTCCAAATTTTTTTCACACACACACACACACACACACACACACACACACACACACACACATATATATATATATATATATTCATGTTTTTATTTATTTATTTATTCATTTAACGAATTATTGTATTAGAGACGTGTCTTAATATCTATGCCTTGTATAATAAGTATTTGAAGAATTGTTTAATAAATTCTAAAATAATACAATAAATATTTAATTACATAAAAGTCATGGCACATAATTTTTTGTTAAATTCTATTCAAAAAGTTTTGTCGTGCCGTAATATAAAGCACAAAAATATTAAAAACAATTTAGTACGAAAATTTCCACTCATACAATGTTCTTAAAAATAATCTTTTCAATTATAAACTACTAATGATTGTAGATAAATAGCAACATCAGTTTAATTATAATGAATTCAATTTTGCATTTTGTTATACTTTGTAGATAGGAATAAAAAATAAATACATCTTATTCAAAAGTTCTAAAATTGTTCGCGAACATCTTCGCAAATATTTAATTTAATTATGAAAACCAAATTCGATATGTAAAATTCGTAAAATTTGTAATTTGTCGATAAATAATAAGTCCTCGTTTTTATAATTTCAAGAGATCTTAGATAATGATCAAAATTTTCATCGTTTCACAAATTGGAATTTCGGAATTAAAAGCTGCGAGCATAGCAATAAATAAATACGTTTTTAAAATGCAGCAGTTATCTGCGTTATCATAATAAAAAATTATGCTCTAGATTTTTTTTTGTAATACTAGTACTCTAAGAATTATATTTTATTATTTTACAATTAAAGCTTCTTTAGAGACTATATAGGTTAGTTCAATTAACAAAATTGCTTACCAGGAATATAATCAATACTAAACAATTAAGTACTACATGTGTAAGGTATAATTATTCAAGCCATCTCCTTATATATATATATATATATAACCCAAATAAATTTTTTAATACTTTTCCTATCCTATTATGTTTCTCATTAAAGTGACAATCGATTATATGTAGTTTAATTAATTTACTTTTTTTTTTATTTAATTGTTATTAAATTGAATTCCAATGATGAATCATGTATTTTCACCATATTTCTAATTTTATAAGATATATAATTAAATCTAGGCTTTATGTAGCTGGTATAATTTAATTATAAACGTATTGGCGTTTAGATTTTAATACCCTTCAATACTGCTTAAGTATGATTTGATACGACCGTTCCATCATCCTCTATCCCAATTAAAACTTTATATGCCCTTTTATTATCATTTTAAATTTTATTCTTCAAAAGTTTTTATGTTGAGTTTAATGTAACTATTACCACAATCTTATGCGTAGTTGCAATTTTATTACCATTAGCTTACATAATTTTAAATATTACATGCTATTTTCGTCTCTCGTATCTGAATTATTTATTTTTATTAATTAACTACTAATGTCACTAGTGTTGTTTATTGATTAATCTATGATTATTGTTGTTATTGCTGCTATTGCTGTAGTTGTTTTCCTTTTTATTTTTATTCTCGTTACCGTTCATCTTATTACGTACGTATGTATAATGCACTTCGATAAACCCCCCCCCCTCCCGTCCAAAAAGCCCAGCAGCAGCTATAAATGCTCGCGCAATACTGATCATATAAAATTTTGTCTCCATCCAGCGCTGCTTATAACCATAATCGGAGAGCGATACATTCCCGGCGTAGGCCAGGTGACAGCGGACAGTTGCCTCAAGCACGAGATAATCCAACAATTGTGCATTAAGCCCCTGTCTCATTCGGAATTGAACAAGACACTGCCGGACGACGTGCACCACGAGACGGGAATGGAGCGCGTGATAAACGAGGTTGCGGACTTCAAAAAGCCCCAGGTCGTCTCCGCGGGCAAGGGCGTTTACGAGCTCAAACCGGAATTCTACTCGGAGTACAATGTCTTCTTTTATCATTACACGAAGGAGGAGTTGAGCAAGTCCGAGGAGGCACAACGTAAGAGGCGAAAGACCGCGGGTGAGCTCGAATGTTGCCCACCGCCAAAGTTACCTAGGCTCACGGAGATGGCGAGCCTCGTTACGAATCTCCTCCAGTGCGATGTCATGCTGTCGATCATGCAGACCGTCATAACGAGGACCCTCGATCTCAAGGCTCGTAGCTTCTCCGAGCCGCAGGTGCACAAGATACTCCACCTTATCGGTTACGCGCTGCAGGAACAAGAGTCCGGCTATTATCCGTTTCTCGCTTTTACCGAAAAGGCCACCAAGTGGGACATTTACAAGCTCCTCGAGAATTTGTATAATAGTCCGCGAATCGACGCGCACAAGGATTTGTTGACTTGGGTGCTCGAGAAGTATAGACAAGTCGCTGGTTCCTCGATCGTCGACGTCGAGCCACCGCCACCAACCGCCACCACAACGCAGGCTAGCGAACCCGAGGACACTGAAAAAGCGGAGAAAGGTAACAACGACACGATTCACTTTTTTCCCTTCTGATCCATGTTGTTTGCCAAATTTGCCTTTCTCCCCAGTCACGATAAGACAATTGTCACCTTTTCATTTCTTTATTTCTTTTTAATACAGAATCTAAAAATGATCGCCACGTTGAATGATATGATGATCATCTCTAACTTATACATGACAATATAAATTTGTATAGCGCGCATTAATTGAGCTTCCTTAAAACATTATGTTCAGGCTGTCAATTATAATATTTCAAAATTTGATAGACATCGTAATAGATATCGATGCAACATGGATATTCCTAATCCTGGCATTATTTCCTTATTAATATTAATAACAGAACATCGACTGCTTAACAACGATGTCGGGAGAGGACTTGCTGGGTTACTTGCTTACCTTTATTAAACTCGCATCAATTTGGAAGTAATTGATATAACATCGCCATCTAGCAACATTAAATGGTCTACGTACTGTAATAGAGTGACGTAATTGCGAGGGATCGTGTTTTGCGTTTCCTAAAATCGATCATCGATCGCCAAGCGAATGAGACATAATAAAAGGATTTCTGCGTTCACAGGTAGTCAAGAATGGCGCGTTAAGATGGCAGCAAAGAAGCGAGCCCAAGTGATGGCCCAGATGGAGGCGATGCAGAAGCACTTTATGAAGAAAAATGCGAAACTCTTCGAGGAAGCGGCACTGGACACTAGCAGCAAGTGCTCAAACGAACGAGGCTCTGCTATGGACCTAAGCGAGAGTCTGGACGAGAGCTCGATAGCCGTGGGTCGTCGTCAAACTACGCGCTTCTGCTTCGAGAAGTCGTACACGTGCATACTATGCCAGGAGGATCAGTCGGTGAAGGCGGACGAGCCCGCGATGGTACTCGCGGCCTTCGTTCAACAATCGACGGTCCTCTGCCAGCAGCAATACGCGCAGCAGCGCGGCATCCCCGAGATGACGCCTCTTTTCCTCTCCGCATATCTCGGCGCCTCGCCCCACACGAGCACCTGCGGCCACGTGATGCACGCTAGCTGCTGGCAAAAGTACTTCGAAAACGTCCTCGCCAAAGAAAACCGTCGGCCTTACAGGATGCGCCAGCCCGCCAGCTACGACGTCGAGAAGCACGAGTACCTTTGCCCGTTGTGCGAGTGCCTGAGTAACACCGTGTTACC